TTGAAATTGGATATAAATATATATATGGGAGCTATATCCAAATCGGAACCGATCTCGATAAAATTTGCAAAGATATTTCTGAGCTGTATTTGATATATTTCCCTGAATATCGTTGTTGCGGAGTGCATATTATGGCTGTGGGTAACAAATATAACAAATAGGATGAACAGTATATATGGGAGCTGTAGCTATATCTGAACCGATTTCGATCAACTTTGGCATACTTATTTTCAGGTTCATTCTGATCGTACGTGCAAAATTTCATACTATTCGGACTGATATTACACGTTTGGTGCACAATAAAATACAAATCGGACGAAGATATATATGGGAGCTATATCTAAATTTTGACCGATTATCTAAAATTTCAATAGGGTTCGTCCTTGGGCCAAAGAAATGATTTGTGCAAAATTTCATCTGGATAGGACAATAATTGCGAACTTACTCTGTTTACCTCTGTTTACATGGACAGACGGACGGACATGCATAAATCGACTCAGAATGTGATTCTATGCAGATCATCAAAAGGAACTATGTGTCTATCTCGTTTCCTTTTGCCTGTTACCAACAAATGCACAAAGACATAATAACCTGACCACCTTGTGGTGTAGGGTATAAAAATTCTGGCGTTTGACTTTGTTGCAATTTTTTTATCTCACGCTGTAGGTAGTTACGAAAATTTGTAATTGTGTTTACTAAATGGTACTAAATTTGGTACAAATTGAAATTGTGGTGAACCGGTAGAGCTGGAATTTTGGAATTTGAAATGAGAATTCTATAGGGCTGTATTGTTTAGGTATGGATGTACAATTTTGGGATATGTGTGAAGCGTGTGAATGTTGGTATCCCAACATTTGATCGCTGTTGTTGTCTGTGATTAAGATATGAAGATGGTTTTGGAAATGCGTCCCATATTTTTGTACTAAATTACTAAATGGTACTAAATTTGGCATTGGCTGAAGAGATAGAGCTGAATTGGTTAAGATATGGAGGTGGTTTGGAAATGCGTACTATAATTGTATGAAAAGTACTACTTTGTTATTGGGTGAAGGAATTGAGCAGAAAATCTGAAATTTGAGGTGGATGTCACTATTGGTGTCTGTGGTTCAAAGAAGAAGGTGCCGTTGGGTGTTGAAATAAATTTGAAGAAATCATAGAAAAATTGAAATAACTGTTAATTTTTCTTGGTGCATACGTACTATTTTGCATTCATATTAACTGAATGATGAATGCTTTGGCATTCTTCAAAAAAATAAAAAAAACAATTTTTTTTTTTTTTGTGAATTAATGTGAACTTTAAAAAAGAATGTGATCTATATTCTAGTTTTTTTTTTTTACCACATATATATGTTGTACTATCGAGTCACACAATACTTTGATTTTATTAGATCATTTTCGATGCTAATAAACCACTCCCAGAAGCAACAAGTGCAAAACCCAGTTATTGTTTGGGTGTGTGTGTATTGCAATTTATGCAAATAAAACGACATTTTTATGCATTATATCGGAGCATAATTTCTCTGTTTATTATCATTTTAAATATTCTGCATCGGGTTTTTTTTCGTACCGTTAGGCGTATATAAATTCGCCCCACATCTCAGCGAACTGTATCAAACGCAAATACAAATCAATCGGTCAACATGAAATTCCTCATCGTTTTCGTTGCTCTCTTCGCCATTGCCTTGGCTGCTCCTCGCCCCGATGTTGAAATCCTCAAGTCCGAATCTGATGTAGGACCCGAAGGCTACTCATTCGCTGTTGCCACCTCCGATGGCAAATCTCACGATGAAGACGGCAAACTCAAGGATGTTGGCACCGAACACGAAGCCATCGTTGTCCATGGCTCCTACAGCTGGGTCGATGAGAAGACTGGCGAAAAATTCACCGTCACCTATGTTGCCGATGAAAATGGTTTCCAACCCTCCGGTGCTCATTTGCCCGTTGCCTAAATTTTAAAATTTAAGAAATTTTTAAATTAAATAAAATTGCATTAAAAATCAAAAAAAAAAAAAAATGACTTTTGTATATTTTTTTAAGGAGACGTGAAGAAAACCCTGTCTATTGGCCTGAGAATAGAACTAAGAAATGTTAGGTCGAAAAATTGGGGATTTTAAAATAATTCGAAGGGCTTACAGACCATCAATAGAGGATGTGTTAAATATTTATAATTGTCTGTAGATATTCGTGGATTTATAACAAATGTATCCCCCAACAATATTTAATTAATGTTTGCAAGGATTCCAGGATCAACAATAATAGGTTTGAAAATAATTTTTTTCAAAGGACTTTTAGACAGAAAATGGTGGTTTCTCAAGAAGTTTTCGAAAGACTTTTGGACAAATAATGGTTTATTTTTAAGGAAAAATTTAAGACAACATTCGTAGTCTCTTAAATTTTTTTTTTCCAAAGACATAAGGACCAATAGTCGAGAATTTTTTAAGAATTTTTTTCCGAAAGCTATTCGGAGCAATTGTCATGGATTTTTTAAAAAATGTTTTAAAATACTTTCAGGCCATTAATCGTGGATTTTTGAAAGAAGTTTATTCCAAGGATTCCAAAATCAAAAATATTTAAAGCATTTTTGCAAAGGACTTTTAGAGCCAAAATCGTGGTTTTTGAAAAAAAATCAAAGGACTTTCAGATCAACAATCGTGGATATTTTTAAGAATTTTTCCAAAGGACATTCAGGTCACGAATTGTGGATTTTGTAAAAAAAATCTAATAAAATTGCGAATATTTAAAAAAAAATCTAAAGGACTTTCAGACCAACAGTAGTGGATATTTTTAAGAATTTTTCTAAAGGACTCTGAACGAAAATCATAGATATTTTTAGGAATTTTTCCGAAGGACATTCAGGTTCCGAAATGTAGGATCTGAATTCTTCAAAAGGACTTTCAGTCAACGAATTGTGTATTTTGTAAGGGATTTTTTCAAAGGACTTTCAGTTCAACAATCAGGGATATTTTTAAGAATTTGTTGTAAAGGACTTTCAGGCCAACAATCGGCGACATTTTTAAGATTTTTTGGAAAGACTTTTTGAGAAAGAATTGCGGATTTTTTCAAAGTACTTTCAGAAAATATCGTTGATTTTCTAAAGAATTCTTTCAAAGAATTAAAGGCCAAGAATTTTGTATTTTGTAAAGATTTTTTCAAAAGTACTTTTTTCTTAAGGACATTTAGACCAACAATCGTGGATTTTTTATTAATTTTTCCTGAAGGACATTCAGACTAACACTCGTGTAATTTTTTAAATTTTTCTAGAGGACTTTCAGACCAAAAATCGAGGATATTTTTACATTTTTTTAAAGGACTTCTAGGACACGAATTTTGGATTTTGTAAAGGATTTTTCTAGAGAACTTTCAGACTAACAAACATGTATTTTTTACAGAATTTTTTTAAAGGACTTTCACACCAACAGTCATAAATATTTTTAGGATTTTTTAAAGGACTTTCAGAACGAAAATCGTGTATTTTTTTTTTAATTTTTCTAGAGGACTTTTAGTCTCAGAATTCAGATTTTTTCTGAAGGATATTTAATCTACAAATTGTGGATTTTCTAAGAATTTTTCAAAAGGATCTTCAGACCAACAATCATGGATATTTTAACGATTTTAGGACTTTTAGGCCACGAATTGTGGATTTTGTAAAGAATATTTTGAAAGGACTTTCAGACCAACAATAGTGGTTATTTTTAAAAATTTTTCTAAAGGACTTTCAAAATGAAAATCGTTGATATTTTTAAGAATTTTTCCAAATGACACTCAGATCCAGAAATGCGGATTTTATAAAGAATTTTTCTAAATGACTTTAATACCAGGAATTGTGGATTTTTTTAAATATTTCTAATGGATTTTCAGACCGACAATCGTGAATATTTTAAAGAATATTTCTAAAGGACTTTCAGCCAACGAATTGTGGATTTTGTAAAGAATTTTTTCAAGGGACTTTCAGATCAACAATCATGGATATTTAAAAAAAAAAAATGTTGTAAAGGTCTTTCAGGCCAACAATCGGGGATATTTTTAAGGAATTTCAGGCGACGAATTATCGATTTTGTAAAGAATTTTTTCAAAGAACTTTTAGATAAAATCTTGTATTTTTTAAGAATTTTTCTAAATGACTTTCATGCCACGAATTGTGGATTTTTTTAAGAATTTTTCTAATGAACTTTCAGACCAATAATCGTGAAGTTTTGCTAAAGGACTTTCAGACCAACAATCGTGGATAATTTGAAAATTGTTTAAAGGACTTTCAGACCAACAAACGTGGATTTTTTTTCTATCGAATTTTTCTAAACGACTTTCCGAAAAATCGTGTATATTTTTAAAGAAAGACTTTCAGAATGAAAATCAAGGATTTTTTAAGAATTTCTATAAAGGACCTTCAGGCCACGAATTGTGGATTATTTAAAGAATTTTTCAAAAGGATTTTCAGACAATTTCTATTTTCAAATTCAAAATTTTTCCAGAACTACTTTGAAGAATTTTATTTGTCAAAAATCGAAAATTTTTAAACATTTGTTATAACAAAAAAAAAAATATATATATATCCGTTAAATCCGTTTCAGGCCATTTGAAGTCGATTTAGGGGTGTCCGGCCGTCTGTATGTCTCTCTCGCTCCAATTTGATCCCAACTTGTTACATCGTAATTTTATTATCAAATATAGACCGAGTTCGGGATGACCAATATCGGTCCACTCTTTCTGGTACCTCCCCCACAAAGGGTCAACATTTAAAAATAGACAATAATTTACCGTTTAGAACAAGAAAACATCATTCAATTTCATGCAGAACTTTGCAAATCCTAATATTTCTATCAGTGCTATGTCAGGAGACCACTATTTTTGGTCTATAAATCCTTGATCTTTTTGGTTTTTTTTTTCAATTAAAAAAATATATACTCTTCACACTCAGAACTTTCAGGATACATGTAATCAATTCGACCACTTCCCTTTCCCACAACTTTCACAATTAAAAAAAGTACTTCAAAATTCTTCAATTTTCGTAAGCAATTTTATTTTATTAAAAACATTTCTTAAAAATTAAATTTAGGCAACGGGCAAATGAGCACCGGAGGGTTGGAAACCATTTTCATCGGCAACATAGGTGACGGTGAATTTTTCGCCAGTCTTCTCATCGACCCAGGTGTAGGAGCCGTGGACAACGATGGCTTCGTGTTCGGTGCCAACATCCTTGAGTTTGCCGTCTTCATTGTGGGACTTGCCATCGGTGGTTTCAACAGCGAAGGTGTAACCTTCGGGTCCTACATCAGATTCGGATTTGACGATTTCAGCATCGGGACGAGGAGCAGCCAAGGCAATGGCGAAGAGAGCGACGAAAACGATGAGGAATTTCATGTTGATTGACTGATTGGCTTGTGTTTTGGCTTGTGCTTGGGATAGCTGACACTTGACTGGTGATTACTACAGATTTCAACTCGCCTATATATGCGAAAAAAAAGAAGCGAGCAACTGCCGTTGCGTATCGAAACAAGAATTTTATGCAATCACAGATGAAATTTCTAAACCCAATAGAAATTTCCAAATTTAACGCAACAAGTTTGCATTCGGCAATACAAATATGTGATCTAATTTTATGCAAATTCGAAAAAAAATATCGGATTAGTATTTTTTTATTGCATTATTATTATTATTGATATTATTATTGTTTTTGTTAAAGAGCATTATGCATTGGCGTGGTGGTGGTGGTTCTCAGAGCAGCGAGTATTGTGGTTGAACAAGTGCACACATACATTCGTGCATAAGGAGCTAGATACGTAATCGTGTTAAATAGTTTAATGAATTTTGCAAACAATAAATTTAAATATATTTGCCAAATTAATGAATGTACAGGAATGGTTTTTAAAGATTTCAAAAAAAAAAAAATATTCATAATAGAAAGTTTAGGCTTCAGAACCTGTTAAATATCCAAAAGTAGAATTGTTGAAAATGCTCAAAATATTTGATTTTTTTCCGTTTTTTGGAGATAGAAGATTTTAAAAAATTTCAACATTTCAATCCACAATCGTGGATTTTCGGGAATAATTTTTCAGGACTATACCTATACTTTTGGATTTTAAAGAATTTTTTTTTTTTTCAGATAATATCCCTAATAATAAATAATAAATTTGTATAGAATACAAGAAATTGTCCGCAACTTTGTCAGCGTTTTTAGTACTCAAAATGTCCAATTCGTTTCAAATTTGAAGAGTCGAACAAATATAGTACACATTTCCATAATAGCCTTCATATTTCACTCCCAAATACCAACAGATACTTAAAAATATGATTTCGGCATTCCCTTCACCCACTACCAAATTAGTACCCAGAGGCCTCACTATCAAATTTCAAGATTCCAGCTCTACCCTTCACCCAATACCCAATTTAGTACCACTTAGAACTTTTCAAACAATTATAGTACATATTTCCAAAACCACTTCCATATCTCAATCTCAGATACGAACAGAGATCTTCATATCAAATTTGAAGAGCCCACTACTATCCTTTCACCCAGTACCAAATTTAGTACCAGTTAGTACTTTTCGAACAAATATAGTACACATAGCCTTAATCAGCTTCATATCTCAATCCGAAATGCCAACCTGAGACTTCAAAATCAAATTTGGGAATTTCAGCCAAATCCCTATACCTAATACCAAATTTAGTACCATTTAGTACATTTCGAACAGATAAAGGACGCATTTCCGAACCATATCTTTAATACAGATTGCATCAGTGATCTTAATGTCAAATTTCAGAAATGTATCTCTATCCTTTTACCCAATGCCAAATTTAGTACCTTTCGCAAAATTATGGTACACATTTCCGAAACCACCTCCATGCCTTCATATCAGATACTAACAGAGATCTCAAAATCAAATTTGAGGATTTTAGCTGTAACCTTTCATCCAATACAGAATTTAGTATCATTGAGAACTTTTCGTACAAATAAGGTACATATTTTCGAAACCACTACAAAATTCCAAAAGCAGATACTATCAGTAATCTAAATATCAAGAATATTATTTCTATCCCTTCACCCAATACCAAATACCGTACAATTATGGTACACATTTTCGAAATCACCTCCATATGTCCAGGCTACACATGAACAGCGACCCTAATAACAAATTTCAGATATCAAGCACTTTCTGTTCACCCCAAGCCATATTGTACCAAACGTAGTACCATTTAGTACTTTTCGTGAACTTGTGATACACATTTCTAAAGCCACCTCTTTCTTAGGAACCTATTACCAACAGGGACCCCAATACAAAATCTCAGCCTCATTCGTTCACACTAAACACAATTGTTCCAAATTTAGTACCATTTAGAACAGTTCCCTCACTTAGTTCACATTTCCAAAGCTACCTTCAGATATCTAATTTACACTTTATACGTTCACTTAATACCAAATGGTATCATTTTAGAAGATACGTACCACTTTAGAACATTTCTTAAATTTAATATTGGAATTAATATTAATAACCCTTTGGTGCATCTATCTCACACTCCATTAGTGACACTCATTCGAAATTTCAGAATTCCAACTACATCGGTTCATCATAATTCCAATTTGTACCAAATTTCATACACATAAGTACGAATTTCCAAAGTTTCCTACATAGGCCAATCCAAATCGCAATTCCAAATTTTAGGATTCCACCCCTGTTGATTTGCCCAAATACAAATTGTACGTTTTTAATACATTTTTGTACATAGAAGTACAAATTTCCAAAAAATACCAACATTTCCCAATCCCTTACTCCTATCAGCTCCATTGGTTAACCTAAATCCAAACGCTACCATCTGTGGTGCCATTAAGTACAACTTTTCATAACGACCTACATCATACAGTCCAATAGAAATCGTATTTCAAAATTTCAGAATTAAAACTCTATTAGTTCTCCCAAAATTTAAATTGCACCAAATTTAGTACCATTTAGTACAGATAAGTTCAATTTTCCAAAACTACCTACAGACCTCAGCCCTAGAATGCAATAGTAATCTTATTTCGAAATCTTTAGAATTCCAACTCTATCAGTTCACCCAAATCGAAATTGTTCCAAATTTAGTACTATTTAGTACTTTTTGTGCACATAAGTATAAATTTCAAGAACTACCTCCATATTCCAATTCTACACTCCGCCAGTGATGTTAATTTCAAATTTCACGGTTCCAACCCCTTCCGTTCCTTAAAATTCAATTTGTACCAAATTTAGTACCGTGTAGCAGAAATAATGGTCCTATATATATTTTACGAGCTTCATGGATATTCAAAAATTTTGACCCGGTGTGGGGGAGGTATTCCATCTTCACACCAGATCTTGTGTTAACAAAAATATTGGGATTGAAGATAATCGGAACCTTGTTTTCGTTTTTTAGGAGAGACATAGTTTTTCAAAATATTGACCCTTTGTGGGGGAGTTACCACAAGGAGTGGTCCTATAGATTCCATCCTTACACCAAATTTTATTTTAGTAGAAATATTGGGATGTGTGAAACTTGAAGAGAAGTGGATGCTAAGTTCGTGTCTTATGATTATTTGGGTTATTCAAAATGTTGATCCTTTGTGGGAGAGGTATGCGGAAGGAGTGGACCGATATATACCATCTTCACAACAGAGCTTGTGTTGATAGAAATATTGGGGTATGACGAATTTCAAAGGAATCGGATGTTCACTTCGCATTTTACGAGCTTTATAGCTATTCATATAATTGGACCCTGAAACAGGAGGCTGATGTACTCCACCTTCACACTAGATCTTGTGTTAGTAGAAATATACAGATGTGCGAAATTTGAAGAGAATCGGATGCCTATTTCGCGTTTTATAAGAGTTATAATTATGGCAAATTTTGACCCTTTGTATGGGAGATACATGGAGTGAGCAGATATTGTCAATTTTCCCACCTGTTTTGCAACTAATAAAAATATTAGTATTTGCAAAGTCCGCACAAAATCGAATGATCCTGAGGTAATATATTTTCTGTGAAAAAATTTACCTTTTGTGGGGAAGGAAGTAGTTGTAGGGGACCGATATTGTCCATCTCCGAAAACAATCTAAGTTTCACAGTAATATTACGATGTACCAAGTTTGGATCAAATCGGATAATCTCTTCGAGAGTTATCATGCGCTTCAGCCAGACATGAAACAGAGAGAAACGGACACCCCTAGATCGACTCTAAATGTCCTGAAACGGATTTTGTCGAAAAAGACCTAGGGTCTAAAACAATTATATCACGTACGTTTCGGCCGTATCAAATTATATATACCCTCTGTTAATGATTTGTTAGCATGCAAACTTTGATCTGTTGGCAAATCCTAACATATACGTTCGAACTCGCTTTGAAAATATAATTGAGTGCATATCGTTATAATAGATATGAAAATACAAAAATTAACAATTTTATTTCAAAAATCTCACTTTTCATTTTCAAACAAAAGACTTAAGAAGCAAAATCGATTCATGGAATTAATTCAAAAAATGAATTATGAATATTGATATGATATTTTTTGGCATTGTTTTCGTTAAATGCGACAAAAAATGCAAATTCAAAATGAAAACGTGATATGGTTTTTAAGTGCTGTATTAAACGTAAACTTTTTCAAATCAGGAAGTATACTCGATTGAGGATTTTCAAGATATGTGGCGTGGTCATTTGTCAAAAACAGAAAATATTGTGTCAAGATAGGAAATATTTTTTTGAATACATTTCTTTTTTAGTTAATTTTTTTCAAATGTAGTTATTTGTATTAGAAAGACGAAAGGCTAGTTATAAAAAAAACTGGAAATGCTTATGATTAAATTTACATAATTGCATTTTAACGTTGAAGAAAGTGCGCCACAAACATTTAATTGGTGCAAATTATTGCTGCGTGTCTTTTTTTATTTAAATTTTGGTGAAGAAATGAAAACATGAAAGAACAGCATTAAAATTTAACACAATTCTAAATGTCACAGAAATCGATTAAATTAAATAAATTCCTAAAAGAATTTCTGTTTTCAAATAGTTTTTATACCCTTCCCAATACTATGGAGGGTATATACATTTTATCATTCCGTTTGTAACTCATCGAAATAATGATTTTAGAACCATAAAGTATATATATTCTTGATCAGCGTAAAATTCTAAGACGATTTAGCCATGTCCGTCTGTCTGTCTGTTGTAATCACGCTATCTTTTGAACAAATTAAGATAGAAGCTAAAATTTTGCACACATGTATATTTTGCCTGTAGGCAGGTTATTTTCGTAAATAGGCCATGTAGGTCCACGTTTTCATATAGCCCCCATATAACGGTACCTCCCGATATTCGATATTTTGATGATTTTAGCGACATTTTTCCCCGGAATTGTTTCAAATTTGGTGTTTGAAGTTCCGAATATGTACTACAGCCTAAGGCAGAAAATTGTGTATGCAGGTCCACGTCTTCGTGTAGCCCCCATATAACGGTACCTCCCTAAATTCGGTATTTTGATGATTTTAGCGCCATTATTCACCTTAGTAGTTTTAAATTACGTATTTAGAGTTCGTAATGGAAGCTACAGCCTGTGACAGAAAATTGTCTATGCAGGTCCAGGTCTTCGTATAGCTCCTATATAACGGTACCTCGCTATGTACGGCATTTTGAAGATTTTGGCTACATTATTCACCGATTATTTTAAGTTTCGAATTTGAATATGGTAATGGCTTGTGACAAACAATGCCTAGGTGCACGTCATACATGCCTAAATATAACGGCTATATTCGGTATTTTTAAAATGTTAACAGAATTTTTGGCGAATATTATCTTTTTCTTTTTTTTTTCCAAAATTTTTCAAATTCGTGCTAAATTGTGGAGGGTATTCAAAGTTCGGCCCAGTCGAACTTACTGTTTTTTTACTTGATTTGTTTTACCCTCAGCCATATGGCTAGGGGGTGTATATATCATTTAATACGACAAAAACGTGCCTCATCGAATTAACGGTTTAAGACTCTATGTCTTTTTGAACCAAATCGGTTTCAGAACATTTATAGTCGATGTAGAGGTCTCCGTCCGTCTGCCAGGGGCGCATGATAAGTATCGAAGGCAGTTTCCGATTTGATCCAAACTTAGTACTTTGTAATATTATCATCAAATTTTGATCGAGTTCGAACCTGTACCTCCCCCACAAAAGGTCAAAATGCTCATAGAAAATAATTTTCTTCACAGAACAAGCAAGTTGTACAAATTTTGCAAATATTAATATTTGTATCAGAACTAGGGCAAGAATAAAGGTCATCAGAATAAATGCCGAGTATTATCGCGAAAATGTTCTGGAGGGTGCATTAAAGACTTGGGCACGCAAACATTTTGGCCACAAACCTTGAACATTCCAACAGGACTCAACACTATTCCACTCAGCACGCGCAAACGAAGTATGGTTACAAAATGAGGTTCTTCGCTTCATTTCCAGCGCACAATGGCCACCAAAATCTCCGGATACCGATCCGCGTCTAGAGTATTTTGGAAAGCAAGGTTGTCACTAAAAAATACCAAAGTATCGATCACCTCAAGCAAGAGCTTCGCCGGGAATGGGCTAAAATACCGCAGAGCAACATTTGGGCAGCGTGTGACGGTTTCATTGGCCGTTTGAAGGCCATAATTCGTGCCAAAGCTGACCAACTCGAACAAATCTAAACTTATTCTAAAATTTGATGTTATTTCCGACATTTTTTGCTTTCATTCAATAAAATTAAAAAAAAACCAGTAAAGAAAGTCTTAAAGTCGGGCGGGGCCGACTTTATGATACCCTACACCACTTTGCTAATTTAGTAAAGCTCCACATAACAATTAAAAGTTTTTATGGGAGAATTCAATCATACACGCTTTGATTATAATTATAATTTAAAGTTCAAAGGACTAAACATGCCGAAGCATTTGTATCTTTTAAATTCGGACTTGTATTGACCATTTGGTGCACAATTAATTTGAAATCGGATAAATATATATATGGGAGCTATATCCAAATCTGAACCGATCTCGATAAAATTTGGCAAAGATATTTCTGAGCTGTATTTGATATATTTCCCTGAATATCGTTGTTACGGAGTGCATATTACGGTTGTGGGTAACAAATATAACAAATCGGATGAATAATATATATGGAGGCTATAGCTATATCTGAACCGATCTTCACCAAATTTGACATACTAGCTTCTAGACTCAATTCGGTCGTATGTGCCAAATTCCATCCCATTTGCACAAACATTAGACGTTTGGTGTAAAATAAAAGGTAAATCGGACGAAGTTATATATGGGAGCTATATCCAAATCTGAACCGATCTCGATAAAATTTAGTAAAGGTATTTCTGAGCTGCATTTGATATATTTCCCCAAATATTGTTGTTACAGAGTGCATATTACGGCTGCGGAGGACAAAAATAACAAATCGGATGGACAATATATATGGGAGCTATAGCTATATCTGAACCGATCTTCACCAAATTTGGCGTACTAACTTCTAGACTCAATTCGGTCGCATGTGCCAAATTCCATCCCATTTGGACAAATATTAGACGTTTGGTGCACAATAAAAGGTAAATCGGACGAAGATATATATGGAGCTATATCCAAATCTGAATCGATCTCGATAAAATTTTGCAAATGTATTTCTGAGCTGTATTTGATATATTTCCCTAAATATTGTTGTTGCAGAGTGCATATTACGGCGGCGGTGGACAAAAATAACAAATCGGATGAACAATATATATGGGAGCTATAGCTATATCTGAACCGATTTCGATCAAATTTGGCATACATATTCTCAGGCCTAATATGGTTGTATGTGCAAAATTCGTACATACAATTCGGGCTGATATTACACGTTTGGTGCACAATAAAAGGCAAATCAGACGAAGATATATATGGGAGCTATATCTAAATTTTGACCGATTATCTCCAATTTCAATAGGGTTCGTCCTTGGGCCAAACAAATGATCTGTGCATAATTTCATCAGGATCGGGGAATAAATGCGACCTGTACTTTGTTTACAAAAATACATGGACAGACGGACAGAAGGACGGACGGACGGACGGACAGACGGACGGACGGACATGCATAAATCGACTCAGAATGTGATTCTATGCAGATCATCAAAAGGAACTATGGGTCTATCTCGTTTCCTTTTGCCTGTTACAAACAAATGCACAAAGACATAATACCCTGACCACCTTGTGGTGTAGGGTATAAAAAACAAATGAAAAATTATAGCTTTTGACTTTGTTGCAGTTTTTTATCTCACCCTGTATATGGTACCTCACTCATATCTCAATTATTTCCCAAAATTATCAAATATCACTTAAAGAGCATTAGGTTTGTCCAGGTCGATCTTTCAATACCTAAATAATTAAAATAAAAAAATAATTAAAAAAACACAATTAAAATATCGAATATAGGGATGTATATGGGCGTTATAGAAAATATTAAACCTACACGTACAATGTTCTTCCACCAAAGCTATAATCCATTACAAACCACAAATACAAATCTGTAGATAATTATGGTTTATATCATCAACATACCGAAAATCTGATCGTACCGTCACATCTTATATCAATTAGTGGATCTGCAGTAAGCATTTTTGCAAGGAGATGACAGACCAACCAGGGACCCTATTTGTCAAGTATCACCTAATTTGGTTGGAAATTGTGGCAGAAACCTTCAATATACCAAAAATTGGGAGGTGTCATAATTGGGGGCCATACCACTTAATGGACCTGTAGCAAATATATTTTGCAGGAAGAAAACAGGTCTGCTACCCCTAGTTCAAAGTTGCAGCTGATTTGGTTTGAAATTTTGGTCGAAGCCTTCAAAATACTACAACTCAGTAGTTAACATTATATCAGGGTTAGGTTTAACTAGCAAAGTAACCAAAATCGAGAATGGGCTAGTTCCCTCTATAACATGTTTATTGAATCGAATCATAATCCTTGGAATCCTAACATTATAGGTATACAGTGTCCTTGGCAATTTTACTTTTCTTTGATGACGTGGAAAAATATTTTGTCTTCGACCATCCTTCAAAAAGATGCCGTGCGGAAGAACTTCACATGCCTTTAAAGATTAAAGAAGATTGGTTAAGATTTCGATTTTATGACGAGTATATTTTGAGAATAATTTAGCTTGCTACGATCTCCTTCAATGGGAGTTTCTAGCCATGTTTTAAGAAAAGGATCAAGAGGAGTCCTTTAGTGACTCGCTTCAGAGCGAAAATTGTCTCAGTGTACGAGGCACTATATACCTAAAATTCGTAGGTTTCAAGGACTCTTAATTCGAAAATTTCGAAAAATGTTGAGGAGAGGGAACTTGTTCCTTCCATTTAGGTTACTTTGCGATGTACACAATTTTGCTTTCATTTCCGCTTTTCCGTATGAAAAATAGTTTATTATCCTTTCGCAGAGCAAGAGACTGGAATATCCTCTTGAATATCATCTTCTCTATTATTCTTTCAAATTTCATTGCTTGTATTTTCTACCTTTACACCAGCGATTCTCTGTCATCATCTCGAAAGTCAATTGGTATTTTACCCCTTTCCCCCCATTTTAAATAACACCCCAAAATATTACACTCACACTCAATTGAAATTTTTATCACAAAATTTTATTACTTAATTTCAACAATTTTTCTTCAATTACTTAATTTAAGCAACTGGCAAATGGGCACCTTGGGGTTGGAAACCATTTTCATCGGCAACATAGGTGACGGTGAATTTTTCGCCAGTCTTCTCATCGACCCAGCTGTAGGAGCCGTGGACAACGATGGCTTCTTCTTCGGTGCCGACATTCTTGAGTTTGCCGTCTTCGTTCTTTTCGGTACCATCGGAGGTGGCAACAGCGAATGAGTAGCCTTCGGGTCCTACATCAGATTCGGACTTGAGGATTTCGGCATCAGGACGAGGAGCAGCCAAGGCAATGGCGAAGAGGGCGACGAAAACGATGAGGAATTTCATGTTGACCGATTGATTTGTGTTTGCGTTTGATACAGTTCGCTGAGATGTGGGGCGAATTTATATGCGATTAACGGAACGCGAAGAAAAAAATTAATGCAAAATATTAAAATAACAATAAGCCGAGAAATTATGCTACGATAGCATGCATAAAAATGTCGTTTTATTTGCATAAATTGCAACCTACAGAAAACAAAAAAAAAACTGGATTTTCAAACATCGAAAATGATCAAATTAACACGAAATATTGTATGCCTCGACGATACCTCATATATATGTTAAATAACAAGAATATAGAGAACATTTTTTTTAAAGTTCACATCAACTCACAAAATACTTGTTAGCACTGATTTTTATTGATAGGAGGTGACATTTGCTTTTTAATTTCTTAGAAAGCGAATGCATTCATTATTCAGTTTCTATGAGTGCAAAAATATCTGTTCAAACACCCAACGGCACATTTTGTACGTTCATAGTAAGCATTTTCAAAACCGTCTCCTTCTCTCAGCTACAGACATCAACAGTGACGTTTATATTAACCTACAGGATTTCAGCTCTTTCCATTCACTCATTACCGAATTTGGTGCCACAAGAACTTTTAGTACAAATATACGACGAATTTGCAAACCCACTTCTACAAACACCAACAGTGAAGTCCTTCACAAATTTGAGGATTCCAGCTATATCCCTGTACCATATTTAGTACCATTTAGTACTTTTCGTACAAATGTAGGATGCGTTTCCGACAACACTTTCATATGTCAAAGCTACACATGCATGCCAGCTATTTCTCTCAACAACAGATATCAGCAGTGGCATCTGTACCAAATTTCAGGATTTCAACTTTATTACATCACCCAATAGCAAATTTAGTAACATTTAGTACGCATATCCAAAACAATCTACATCCCTCTACCCTAGACATCAACAGTGATCCAAAATTAGTACCATTTAGTACTTTTCGAGCAATTATAGTACTTTTGAGAAAAATCATCACCGGATACCAACAAAGACCTCCCTCCCTCCCTTTACTCAATACCAAATTTAGTACCAATTAGAACTTTACGTACAAATGCAGGGTGAGATCAAAAAACTGCAACAAAGTCAAACGCCATAATTTTTTTATTTATTTTTTAAATTTTATTGAATGAAAGTAAAATATGTCGGAAAAAGCATCCAATTGTAGAATACGTTTAGATTTGTTTGAATTGGTCACCTTTGGCACAAATTATGGCCTTCAAACGGCCAATGAAACCGTCACACGCTGTCCGAATGTTGCTCTGCCGTATTTTGGCCCATTCCCGGCGAAGCGCTTGCTTGAGGTGATCGACACTTTGGTTTTTTGTTCTGTCAACCTTGCTTTTCAAAATACTCCCGACACAATAGTCCAACGGATTGGTATCCGGAGATTTTGGTGGCCATTGTGCGCTGGAAATGAAGCGAGGAACTTCATTTTGTGACCATTCTGGGTGGCGCGTGCTGAGTGTTGGAGTCCTGTTGGAATGTCTAATGTCTGCGGCCAAAATGTTTGCGTGCCCAAGGCTTTAATACACCCTCTAGAATATTTTCGCGATAATATTCGGCATTTATTCGAGAGAGCGACCATCGGCTGTTATGGCGGCCCACACCATCACCATGGCCAGCGCTTGATTTCTGGTGGCCAACCGAAGGTGCACATTTTCAGCTGACCTCTTTGGCAAGTAAACACGATCATTTTATTTGTTTACAAACTGCTGGACAACGAATGTGTTCTCATCGAAAAAACCATATTCGGCAGTTCACCACTTTAGGCCAAGCGAGGCAACCCTTTAGCTCTTTTGAGTCTATTTTCTCTCTGCGGTGGAATTTGAATTGCTTAACCCCGAGCTCATTTTTAATATTTGCCGAATGGAATATTGCGAAATGTTCAGCTCAAGAGCCATTTTTCGGCCACTGCGACGCGTGCTTCGATCAAGTCGCTTCTTTACTTTTCGAACGATTTCTGCAGATGTTGCTGTTTTCTTCCGTCCACTTCCTTGACGTCGGCCTACACTACCAGTATCACGGTAACGAGCGATGGTACGAAACACAAAGGATTTATTCACATTTAAATGCTTTAGGGCTCTAACGATACCCACTTGTGGTTTTCCAGCCAAATATAAAGGAATCACACTATCATGCTTAAATTCCATCACGAATAACTTTTTTTCTAGAAAATCTCGCCAAAATGCTTTTGCGCCCTTGTAAACAATATAATGAGCTGTCACTGGAATAATTTTAACAGCTGTCGGACGAGTGGCTTAGAAATGACAGTAGTCTGAAATTGGTTGCAGTGCACATTCGGTTGGCCACCAATGATGGTGAGGGCCGCCTTACTGCCGATGGCCGCTCTCCACTCGTTTTAACCGACCGTGACATCAGAATAAATGCCTAATATTATCGCGAAAATATTTTGGAGGTTGTATTAAAGCCTTGGGCACGCAAACCTTTTGGCCGCAGACCTTGGACATTCCAACAGGACTCAGCATCATCGTACTCAACTCAGCACGCGTCACCCACGAATGGTTACAAAACGAGGTTCCTCGCTTCATTTCCAGGACACAATGGCCACTAAAATCTCCGTATACCAATCGGTTGGACTATTGTGTCTGGAGTATTTTGGAAAGGAAGGTTGGCACTAAAAAATACCAAAGTGTCGATCACCTCAAGCAAGAGCTTCGCTGGGAATGGGTCAAGATACCGCAGAGCAACATTTAGGCAGCGTGTGACGGTTTCATTGGCCGTTTGAAGGCCATAATTCGTGCCAAAGGTGACCAATTCAAAAAAATATAAACTTATTCTAAAATTTGATGCTATTTTCGACATTTTTTGCTTTCATTCAATAAAATTTAATAAAATTTAAAAATTACTGCGTTTGACTTTGTTGCAGTTATCTCACCCTGTACTTGCTGCTAGATAGAGATTCGGTCGGATGTGCAAACATTTAGGTCTTCTGGATTGATATTGATAATTGTGTGCTAAAATTATCCCTAAATCGGTTGAAGATATATGGGAGCTATATTGAAATTTGAACCGTTTCTCACTAATTCAAATAGGGTTCGTCCTTGGGCCAAACAAATAGTGTTTGGAAAATGTCATCTCAATCGCATAATAAATGCTACCTGCATTTTGTTTACAAAAATACATGGACGGATGGACGGACGTCAGACGGACGGGCATGTATAAATCATCTCAGAAAATGATTCCATGAAGATCCTCAAAAGTAACTACGGGTCTATCTCGCTTCCTTCTCCATGTTACAAACAAATGTACAAAGACATAATACCCTTATCACTGTGTGGTGTAGGGTATAACAATTATTGAAGAGAAGGGAAAATTTCCCCTTCTATTTAGGTTACTTTGCGAAACGCCGACACACGTCACCTCGTAATATATAACAATATACACCTCGAAGCATAAAATTCGATGTCGATTTAGCGAAGTCCGTCTGCCTGTCCGTCCATTCTTCTGTGGAAATTACTCTAGCATCCAGACGAAATGAAGTAGGTTGATTAAATTTTACTCTAATGTAGATTATGTCTGCAGGATTTTTGGTATTAAAAATGGGCAATGTAGGTCCACGTTTTGGTATAGTACCTCCCTGTTTTCGATATATTGGTGATTTCAGCGACATTATTCATTGAAATTTGGTATTTGAAGTTCGAAATGCATCCTACAGCCTCTGACAGAAAATTATATGTGTAGGTCCACGCCTTCGTATAGCCCCCATATACCTCACCTCCCAATATTCCGTGTTTGAATGAATTTAGCGACATTATTTACCGGAATTGTTTCATATTTGGTATTTGAAGTTCGTAATGGATACTACCGCCTTTGACAGAAAAATTGTCCGTGCATGTCCACGCCTTCGTATAGCCCCCATATACCGCACCTGCCGATATCCGGTACTTTGATGAATTTAGCGATCTTATTTACCGGAATTGTTTAATATTTGGTATTTTAAGTTCGTTATGAATACCACAGCCTAAGACAGAAAATTGTCCGTGCAGGTTCAGGTTTAGGTATAGCCTCCATATAATGGTACCTCCCTATATTCGGTATTTTGATGATTTTATCGACATTATTCACCGAATTTTTTTCAAGTTTCGCATTTGAATTCTGTAATGGCTTATGACCAAAGTTGCCTATGCAGGTCCATGTCGTCGCATAGACCTTAATATAACGGCTACATTCGGTATATTAAAAATTTTAAAAGAATTTTTTAACGGATTTTATTTTTTTGAAAATTTGTCAAAATTCGGTCCAAATGGTGGAGGGTATTCAAAATTCGGCCCGACAAAAATTACAGTTTTTTTTTTAATTTTTAAGTTCTTGTGTCATAATCCACTGGATTTTCCTTATGGCACAGTGTAATTGAAATCTCCTCAGAAAATATTTTTTCTTCACAATTTTCTTTTAATGCCCTGCGTCCTACCCTCTTCTCTAAGGAAACAACAAGGATTATACAATTGCAATGCTTTATATTTTATTTCACACTTTTTTTTGTTTTTAAATCCACAATCTAGTCAATCACTTAATTTAAGCAACTGGCAAATGGGCACCTTGGGGTTGGTAACCGTTCTCATCGGCAACATAGTTAACGGTGAATTTTTCGCCGGTCTTCTCATCGACCCAGGAGTAGGAACCGTGGACAACGATGGCTTCGTGTTCGGTACCAACATCCTTGAGTTTACCTTCGGCAGAGTGAGCAGCACCATCGGAGGTTTCAGATTCGAATTTGAATTCTTCGGGTCCAACATCGCTGACTAGCTTGACAATTTCAACATCACCACCTGGAGCGGCCAAGGCAATGGCGAAGAGAGCGGCGAAAACAATGAAGAATTTCATGTTGCTGGTTTGAGTTGGGTGTTGCTGGCGAATGTAGTTCGTAGAAAGTCCAAAACTAATTTGATGTTTAGACCCTCAATGCTACCTGATTTTATACTCCTGCCAATGACATTTTCAAATGTCAGTTATTCAATTGAAATGCATTTCTCAATTGGCGTGTGTTGGGCGTTAGTGTTGTGTGTAGTGCCTCTGCACCGGTTTATGACGTCCGTTTCTTGTCTGCTTGCATTTCTTTCATTCTTTCATCCTTCTCTTTTTCATGTTTCGTATAAGTCAACTAATAAATCGTTCAACGAGTTCATTTTTAAATACCAATATTTATTCAGAAACATGTTGGCTTTAAATATTAAATTGAATAATGAAGGAATTTTTTTTTAAGAATTGTTGAAATTCCTTTTTTAATTTTTTTTTTTTTTGGTTTAGATCTAGAATTTATGATTTAGTTGCCGACAAACAGATGGGATATCAACTACATTCTGGAGAAAAAAGGTATGTATTTTGAAGTTTAAGAAAAAAAATTTATTTGAATATTAAAAGAAAAAAACTTTAAAAAAGGGGTTTGACAAAGGGGACTGAGGATTACTGCGTATGTGTAAAGGGTATGTACATTTCCAAAAGCTTAAATTTGGAACCTAACCCAACTCCGTGTAAAATTTAGTGATCGGACGATAATTGCAACCTGAATATAATACACCCACAAGACATAAAATTTACAATTTTAAAGAAGTAAAAAAACATTAAGTTCGGATGGGCCAAACTTTTACTACCCTCCACCTTAGGGTAAAGGAAACATTAGAAGAAATGTGGCGAAACCCATCAAAATACCGAATATCGGGAGGTACCGTTATATGGGGGCTATATCAAATCAAGGTCCAATACATACAATGTTTCACCAACGGAGCTAGAACCCATTATATCTACAAATACCAATTTTCAGACAAATCCGTGAATAAATGTGGCAAAAATCATCAAATTACCAAATGTCTGGAGGTACCGTTTTATGGGGGCTATACCAAAACGTGGACCTATAACTACAATGACTCGCAACACGAACTGGGACCCATTATGATCTACAACTACCAATTTTCAGAGTAATTCTGGAAAAAAATGTGTCAAAAATCATCAAAATACCGAATATTGGGAGGTACCGTTATATGGGGACTATATAAACACGTGGACCTATACATACAATGTTCCGCCACACGAAATAACCCACAAACACCAAGTTTTAGACAAATCAGTGAAAAAATGTGGCAAAAACCATCAAAATACCGAATATCTGGAGGTACTATACCAAAACGTGGACCCATACATGCAATGTTTTGCCACACTCACAGGGACCCATTATGACCTACAAGTACCAATTTTCAGACAAATCCGTGAAAAAATGTGGCATAAATAATCAAAATACCGAATATCGGGAGGTACCATTACATGGGGACTATACCAGAACGTAGACCGATATATCTCATTTTCAATACCAACCATCCTAGACACAATACAAATAGCTCTGCTAAATTTTGGCGCTCTACGTCAAATAATGTGGGCTGTATCGTGATTTCAACAGACAGACAGACAGACGGACAGACGGACATCGTTAAATCGACTTAGAATTTTATGCTGATTAAGAATATTTATACTTTATGGGGTCTATGACGAATATTTGAGGATGTTACAAACGGAATGACAAAGTTAATACACCCTCCTTTCCAAGGTGGAGGATAGAAAAAAATTTACAAAATATAAAATTCAATATTGAAAGTCAAATTTAAAAAATCTCAAAAATCTGACAAATTATAAAAAAAATATCACAAAAATATTCACATTTTTGTTAGCATCTTTTTAAGTTAATTTTTAAGATTTTATTATTTTCTGGTTTAAAGACAATTCTGGAAAAATTCTGAAAAAATCTGAAAATTCTCAAAATCCCTTCGGCCGCTTTTAAATTATAAGGGGTCTAACCAACATCCCCTCCTTTGATATAAGAGATGGTATATAGTTTGCTATACTAGCGATATCTTGGATGTCAGGCATCAAAGTAATGGTCGGTAGTGAGCTGTTCATGAGCTTTTGATTTTGCTAAAATCAAAAATATTCGAAATTGACGTATTTATACCCTACACCACAAGGTGGTCAGGGTATTATGTCTTTGTGCATTTGTTTGTAACAGGCAGAAGGAAACGAGATAGACCCATAGTTCCTTTTGATGATCTGCATAGAATCACATTCTGAGTCGATTTATGCATGTCCGTCCGTCTGTCCGTCCGTCCGTCTGCCCGTACGTCCGTCCGTCTGTCCATGTATTCTTGTGAACAAAATGCAGGTCGCATATATTATCCGATTGAGAATAAATTTTGCAAACAACATTTGTTTGGCCCAAGGACGAACCTTATTGAAATTGGATATAATCGGTAAAAATTAAGATATAGCTCCCATATATATCTTCGTCCGATTTGCCTTTAATTATGCACCAAACGTGTAATATCAGCCCGAATAGTATGGAATTTTGCACTGACAACCAAATTTGGCCTGAAAATAAGTATGCCAAATTTGATCGAAATCGGTTCAGATATAGCTGTAGCTACCATATATATTGTTCATACGATTTGTTATTTTTGTCCTCCGCAGCCGTAATATGCACTCTGTAACAACAATATTTGGGGAAATATATCAAATGCAGCTCAGAAATACCTTTGCTAAATTTTATCGAGATCGGTTCAGATTTGGATATAGCTTCCACATATAACTTCGTCCGATTTACTTTTTTATTGTACACCAAATGTCTAATATTTGCCCAAATGGGATGGAATTTGCCACTTAAGACCGAATTGAGTCTAGAAGCTAGTATGTCAAATTTGGTGAAGATCGGTTCAGATATAGCTATATCTCCCATATATACTGTTCATCCTATTTGTTGTATTTGTTACCCACAGCCGTAATATGCACTCCGTAACAACGATGTTCAGGGAAATATATGAAATACAGTTCAGAAATATCTTTGACAAATTTTATCGAGATCGGGTCAGATGTGGATATAGCTCCCATATATATATTTATTTGATTTCAAGTTAATTTTGCACCAAATGGGCAATACAAGTCCGAATTTAAAAGATACAAATGCTTCGGCATATTTAGTCCTTTGAACTTTAAATTATAATTGAAATCATAATCTTGTTAAAAGAAAATCTGAAATTCTCAAAATCCCTCCAGCTGCTCTTTAGGTTTTTGAGGGTCTTGCTAACATATATGAGATTGTATGTTGTTTGTTATATATGCGTTATCTTGGATATGAGCATCAATGTAACGGTCAGGCAACTACCGAGGTCGCGAGCTTTTGACTTTGCTAAAATTAAAAATATTCGAATTTGACGTATTTTTTTTTACATAAAAGTTATTTCTTCTAGACCGGTAGGTCTCTGCTCTGCCCTAAATTTTAGCTCCATGCATAATTCCGGCCTGTAGAGCAACCGCATTATCCGTATTTTTTTCGTGAGGATAGGGTAATAATTGCAAGGTGTAGCGGGATTACCATTTAACTGGGACAACACGTTAACAACAAGCAAAAAAGCAGCAAGTATTCGGGAACTTTGAATACCCTCCACCATTTAGACGAATTTTGAAATTTCCAAAGAAATAAAATCCGTTAAAAATTCTGTTAAAATCGTTATAATGGATTCTATACGAAGACGTGGATCTGCATAGGTAGCTTTTATCATAGGCCGCTACAATATTCAAATACGAACCTGGAAACGGTGTAGTTTAAATCATCAAAATACCGCATACAGGGAGGTACCGATATATAGTATCGGTATTTTTCCTCACGAGTATTGGGAGGTGCCGTCATACGGGGGCTATATGAAAACGTGGACCTGCATACGAAATTATTTTCCATTGGTTGTAGTTACCATTAAGATCTCCCAATATGAAATTTGAAACGATTCCGGTGATTAATGTTGCTGAAATTATCAAAATACCGAATATCGGGAGGTACCGTTATATGGGGGCTATACGAAGACGTGGACCTGCATAAAAACATGTTTGTCATTGGCTGTAGTACCCATAACGAACTTCAAATACGAAATGTGAAATGATTCCGGTAAATAACGTCGCTGAAATCATGAAAATACCGAATATTGGGAGGTACCGTTATATGGGGACTATACGAAAACGTGGACCGACATGGTCCATTTACGAACTTAACCTGCCTAGTAAACTATGCATGTGTACAATATTTTCGACGTCTATCTCAATTCGTTCAAAAGATAGCGTGATTACAACAGACAGACGGACATCGCTAGATCGTCTTAGAATTTTACGCTGATCCAGAATATATAAACTTTGTAGGGTCTATTATAAATATTTCGAGGAGTTACAAACGGAATAACAAAGTTAATATACCCTCCATAGAATGGTGGAGGGTATAAAAAACTTAATAAAAAGTCACGATTGATGCTCAAAAAGTCCTTTGAAAAAATAATTTAAAAAGTCCAAGATATTCCGTTCCCAAGTCCATAGAAAAAAAAACAATTAAAAATCCACGATTAAAGCTCAGAAAGACCTTTGAAAAAAATAATTCAAAAGATTCGAAAATTTTCATCCACAAATCGTAAGAAAAAATTAATTATTAATCCTCGATTGATACTCAGAAAGCCCTTCGAAAATATAATTTTAAAAATCCAAGGTTTTTCGTCCACACTTCCTAAGAAAAATTATCAGAAAGTTCTTCGAAAAAAATATTTGAAAATTCCGCGATTGATGGCCAGAAAATCCTTTGAAAAAATTATTCTAAAAGTCCGTTATTTTTCATCTTAATAAATGTGCTAAGTGTGGAACAATTTAGTTTAGGTTGAACGGATTAAGGTAGAATTTTGAAATTTTGTATTGCGGTCCATTCATGTGTAGACTGGACATATGAAAGTGATTGCGGAAATGGGTAATTCAATTGTACGAAAAGTACTGAATGGTACTACATTTGGTATTGGGTGAAGAGACAGATATAAAATTCAGAAATCACAGATCTGTGTTTGAGATTTGGCTGTGGTTTGGAAATGCGTATTTGTTTGTACGAAACGAACTAATACTGGTATTGGATGAAGGGATAGGTCGGTCTGGAATCCCCAATTTCGGCATTGAGTTAGTGAGATATGGCGATGCTTTTGGAATTGTGTACTATAATTGGACAAAAAAGTACTAAATGTTACTAAATTTGGTATTGGGTAAATATATTGAGCCGAAATTTTGTAATTTGATATTAAGGTTACTGTTGGTGTCTGTGGTTAAGATATGGAGGTGGTTTTTAAACTATTTACAAAAAATGTTCAAAAAGTACTAATTGATACCAAATTGGGTTTTCGATGAAGGGATAGAGAGGGAATCCCAAAATTAATTATTGAGGTCTTTTTTCGCATCTAGTGTTAAGGTCTGGTGGTGGCTTTGAATAATGTATATATAACCATGAAAGTCTGAACATTTGTAGAAGATGTATAAAGTTTTGAAAAAAAAAAAAAAAAAAATTGTCAAAATCACTTTGCGCAAACGACCATACTTTCCAAAATATCACTTTGTGCAAACGACCATACTTATCACTTTGTGCAAACGACCATACTTATCACTTTGTGTAAACGGCCATACCATACTTTCCAAAACCTCACTTTGTGCAAACGACCATACTTATCACTTTGTGCAAACGACCATACTTTCCAAAACAAACGACCATACTTTCCAAACATCAAACGACCATACTTATCACTTTGTGTAAACGACCATACTTTTCAAAACATCACTTTGTGCAAACGACCATACTTATCACTTTGTGCAAACGACCATACTTTCCAAAACATCAAACGACCATACTTATCACTTTGTGCAAACGACCATATTTTCCAAAACATCACTTTGTGTAAACGACCATACTTATCACTTTGTGTAAACGACCATACTTATCACTTTGTGCAAACGATCATACTTTCCAAATCATCACTTTGTGCGAACGACCATACTTTCCAAAAAATCACTTTGTGCGAATGACCATACTTTCAAATACATCACTTTGTGCGAACGACCATACTTTCAAATACATCACTTTGTGTAAACGCATACTTATCACTTAGTGTAAACGACCATGCTTATCACTTTGTGTAAACGACCATACTTTCCAAAATATCACTTTGTGCAAACGACCATACTTATCACGTTGTGTAAACGACCATACTTATCACTTTGTGCAAACGACCATACTTTCCAAAATATCACTTTGTGCAAACGACCATACTTATCACTTTGTGAAAACGACCATACTTTCCAAAACATCACTTTGTGTAAACGACCATAGTTTCAAATACATCACTTTGTGTAAACGACCATACTTATCACTTTGTGTAAACGACCATACATTTTGTGCATTAAAAATGCCTAACACGGACTGTTGGTATGAAGCTAAAATTTTAAGGTAAATGAAATAGGAGGTGAATTTCGCGTTTTAGAAGCTTCATGGATATTCAAAATGTTGACCCGTTGTGAAGAAGGTACCAAAAGAACTGGACCGATATATTCCATCTTCATCAATGACAATCGGACTCTTACATGATATTTTATAAGATTTATAATTATTCCAAATCTGGTCCCTTTGTGGGGGAGGTATTTGATGGAGTAGACCAATAATGTCCTTTTTCGCACCAGATTTAGCACTGATGGAAACATAACTTTGAAAATCAAAATTTGAAGCAAAATCGGATTATCATTTCTCTTTCTGTGCAGTAAAATATTGTCTTTCTATATTTTTACCTTTTGTGGGGGTGGTACCAGAAGGAATGGACCGATATTGCCCATCTCCGAACTCGATCTAATCTTGATATCCTTCCGTCGTTTTCCCTTATCCTTTGATATTTACATGCAATATTATGATGGCTTGCTGCCTATGTATCATACCTTAAGGTCTGTTTACATTACCTTGTAATGGCTTATTCGGCTCATGCGGCTCCCAAATTTCAGCTGCATAATAATATTGAAAGTGGCAGATATGTCTTAATTTTTTTTTATTTTATTATTTTTTTTTTTTTTTTGGCTGGGGCTCCATTACCTCCTTAAATGTTATATGGAGGCTTTTTTTCTAAGTTGAAATTGCCATCACCAAAAGAGTTTTCTCTTTAACACTTAATTTTTCAATTCTTCCTGCAAATCACAACAAACATTTATGTTTGAAACACAACAACCACACAATTTTTCATTCTTTTGTGATTTTACAACATTTGATGCCTTTATTTGCAAACTAATACTATAACATGTTTTCTTTGTATTTTTTTCATATTTTTTTATTTATTTTTTTTTTTTTTTTTTGGGAAGGATTTTAAACAGCTCTTGTTTATCACTAGGTTTGGTTTTTTTCTTTTCTACAGTTTGGGGGTCACATTATATCCAATATCCGCTTTTAGTGGGCAGTGTTGGGCAAATGGGCACCTTCGGGTTGGAAACCGTTTTCATCGGCAATATAGTTGACGGTGTAGGTCTGGCCATCATCGGCAACGAAGGAGTAGGAGCCACGAACAACAATGGCTTCATCTTCGGATCCGACATTCTTCAAGGAACCCTCTTCTTGGTGGGTCTTGCCATCGCTGGTTTCCAAGCTGTTTGGGAAAATGAAAAATTATGAGAAAATTTTTCAAAAAACACCTCTCTCGGGACACTCACGCAAAGTTATAACCCTCTGGTCTGACATCCGACTCCAAACGCAAAACCTCGGCATTGGCGTAATCCTGAGCGGGGGCAGCCAAGGCAACGGCAAAGAGAGCGGCGAAAACAATGATGAATTTCATTTTAGGCGATTTTTCGATCTAAGAGTTGTTGTATTCACAAAGAACGTTGTAAGTTTTATGATGTCTATTCCGAAGATTCTTCTCATTTTTATAGTGATTTTTGCTGCTACATCCAGTAGTATTGTAGCTCCGAGACTCCGAAAACAAGCTGGCTTTAGTCATCTGACAAAAAATAAAGAGTCTTTCTTCACAACGTCTCAGGTTTTTTTCTGCTGTCTCAGTTTTTTTTTTCTCAGTTTGTTCGGTATTTCTCCCCGACCCGAAAATCTTTAATATTTTGTTTTTATTTTTTTGGAGCGGTAGAAGCAAAAAAGATATTTATCATCAGCATCATCAGCATGTTCATAATTACACTTTGTCAAAATTATATTGTTAATCTGACATCTGATAATCTTCCTCTACGCTTCGTTTTCGTTTTCATTTACTATTTTTCTATTTCTATTATTATTTATCTACTTATCTGGTTTTCTAGCAGCTATTTTTATTTCTGTACAAATTACGTACGTACAGCGACTGGAAGTTTGACCGGGGGGAGAGGTTGAGACGAGTCGTAAAAAATAATTTTGGCCAAAAAATCTCGATTCTCTCAAAAAAGCGACAAAAGTTGTTTAAGGAAATATAATTTGTTTTGGATAATCTATTGTTCCGACTGTCATTAGGGTTATGGTCTATGGATAATGGTTTGATAGCGAAACTCATAGAGAAAGATAAAGAGATGGATTGATCATTTGCATACGATACGAATTTATCAAACGATTGTGGATAAATCATCAGCCAAATTTTTGGAGAATACCACAACAATGGGAAGGATACATACATCATAAATTTGTCAAAATCCTAGAAATGTCAAGGTCTTTAAAGGATAGACTGCAAATGAAGTATTCTCCAAACAGAATTCTTCTAGAGATATTTGGTCTCTCTGGAAACAATACTGCCATGGTTTTCAGGGATGGAAGACCACTTAGGTGGTCCATAAATTATTCTGAGGTCTTTCTTTAACGATGTCTGTCCGTCTATCCGTCTTGTGGAAATCACTCTAGTTTCCGAACGAAATGAATTAGATTAGTAAATTTTTACTCAAATGTGTATTATGTGTATTATGCAGGACTTTTGTATTAAAAATGTGTGATGTAGGTCCACGTTTTTGTATAGCCCCCATATAATGGTACCTCCCGATATTCGGTATTTTGGTGATTTAAGCGACATTATTCACCGGAAATGTTTCAAATTTGGTATTTGAAGTTCGCAATGGGTACTACAGCCTATGCTAGAAAATTGTCTATGCAAGTCCACGTCTTCGTATAGTCCCCATATAACGGTACCTTCCGATATTCGGTATTTTAATGATTATAGCGACATTATTCACCGGAATTGATTCAATTTTGGTGTTTGAAGTTCGTAACGAATACTATAGCCAAAGACAGAAAATTGTATGTGCAGGTCCACGTCTTCGTATACCCCCATATAACGGTACCTCTCTATATTCGGAATTTTGATGATTTTAGCTACATTAATCAACGAATTCTTTATTCAAATTTCGCTTTTGAATATTGTAATGGTTTATGACAAAAGTTGCCTATGTAGGGCCACGTCTTCGTATAGACCCTAATATAACGACTATATTTCTTATTTTTAACATTTTAACAAAATTTTTAACGGATTTTTTTTTTTAATTGCCAAAATCTTTCCAAGTAGTGGAGGGTATTCAAAGATCGGCCCGGCCGAACTATTAAAACTAAATTAAAATCTAAATTAAAACTAAATTAAAATTAAAAAAAAATCTTTAAAAACATACACGATTATTTGTCCTAAAGCCGTTAGTATAAGAGACCTTCGAAAAATTAAAAAAAAAAAAAACTAAGGATTATTTCTCCTAAAATCCTTTATAAAAAGTTCATTTAAAATTAAACAGTCTTTTGTTCTTTAGTTCTGTTCCTGTCCTGTTTGTTCTCTTGTCCTAAAATCCTTTAGAAAAATTGTTTAAAAAATCTACGTTGAATGGTCTGAAAGTCCTTTAGAAAATTTCTTTAAAAAATCGACGGTTGATGGTCTGAAAGTTTTTTTAAAAAATGCTTTAAAAAGTCAACGATTATTTGTTCTGCCGTACTTCAGAAAATTTCTTTTATAAATCCATGATTGTAGGTCTAAAAGTCCTTTAGAAAATATCTTTAAAAAAATCCACGATTGTGTGTCTAAAAGTCCTTTAGAAAAGGTTTTTAAAAAATCCACGATTGTTGATCTAAGAGTCCTTTAGAAGATTTCTTTATAAAACCGCCGATTGATGGTCTGAAAGTCCTTTAGAAAATTTCTTAAAAAAATCGACGATTGATGGTCTGAAAGTCTATTAGAAAATTTCTTTAAAAAATCGACCATTGATGGTCTGAAAGTCTATTAGAAAATTTCTTAAAAAATCGACGATTGATGGTCTAACAATCCATGATTTCTTAAAAAAATCCACAATTGATTGTCTTAAAGACCTTTGATTTTTTTTTTTACAAAATCCACGATTGATGGTCTGAAAGTCCTTCAGAAAATTTCTTTAAAAAATCCACGATTGATGCCCTGAAAGTCCTTTAGAAAATTTCTTTAAAAAAATGCTGGTTATCGTTTTAAATATATCTATCCAAGTTCCAAATTTTAGGGATATTCTAAGAATTCTAAAGGACTTTCAGACCAACAGAACAGATGGATATATTAAAGAATTTGTCAAGGACTTTGGGACAAATAACCATTTTAAGAATATTTCTAAGGGAAATTCGATCAATTTTGTATTTTTTACAATTTTTATTCCAAAGGATTTTAGGACAAGTAATTGCATTTTTTTCTAAAGGACTTTCTGACCAACAATCGTGGATTTTTTAACAAAATTATTTCAAGTTTTTATACGGGTTATTGTGGTTTTTTAAAAGATATTTCCAAAGGAATTTAGGATAACAGATAGTGGATTTTTAAATTTTTTTCTAACGGACTTTGGGCTAAATAATCGTGGACTTTTTAAATAATTTTTCTTAAGGACTTCAGGACAAGTAATTGTGGATTTTGTAATTAATTTTTCTAATAGAGGGCATAGAAAGTTCGGTTTGGTAATATTTAACACCGATTTTCCTCGATTCTAAAGGATTTTTAGAAGAACAGTCGTGGAAATTAAAAAAAATTCTCGGGAATTTTCTGAAGGACTTTGAAAAAAAATAACGGTGGAATATTCAAGAATATTTCTAAAGGACATTTAACGAAGCAGTCCTGGATTTTTAAAGTATTTTTCCAAAGGACTTTAGGAGATGTAATTGTATTTTTTACGATTTTTTCTAAAGAATTTTCTGACCAGCAATCGTGGATTTTTTTTAAGAATTATTTCAAAATTTTATATGAGTTGTTGTGGAATTTTAAAGGATATTTTGAAAGGAACTTAGGACAACTGATAGTGGATTTTGTAATTAATTTTTCTAAATGACTTTGGCCTAAATAATCGTGGACTTTTTAAAGAATTTTTCTAAATGACTTTAGGACAAGTAATTGAGGATTTTTTCTAGAATTTTTTAAAATTGTTATATAATCGAATAGCCTTAAACTTTTTAAAGTTTTTTCCTAAAGGACCTTAGGATAAATATTCTTGGATTTTGTAATTAATTCTTCTAAAGGACTCTAGGACAAATGATCGTAATTTTTTTTAAGAATTTTTCTAAATAATTCTAGGTCAAATGCTCATGGATGTATTAAACATTTCCTTCTAAAGAAATTTAAAATAAATAATTATGGATTTTTTTTAAGAATTTTTCTAAAGGACTTTAGGGAAAGAAGTTAAGTATTTTTTCAAGCATTTTTAAAAATTGTTATATAGTCGAATAGTCTTGATTTTAATTAAAAGAAATTTAGGACAAAGAGTCCTGGATTTTGTAACAAATTCTTCTAAAGGACTTAAGGGCAAATAATAAATAAATAATAATTTTTTAAGAGTTTTTCTAAAGGATTTTAGGACAAATGTTAATGGATGTGTCAAAAGTTTTTTCTAAAGAAATTTAAAATAAATAATTATGGATTTTTTAAGAATTTTTTAAAGGGCTCTAGGACAAGTAATTTTGGAATTTTTAAAGATTTTAAAGAATTTTTAAAAATTTTTCTGAAGGATTTTAAAACAAATGCTCACGGATGTGTTAAACATTTTTTCAACGGGAATTTAGGAGAAATAATTATGAAATTTTTAAGAATTTTTCTAAAGGACCTTACGACAAGTAATTGTGAATTTTTTAAGAATATTTCAGAATTGTTATGTTGTCAAATAATTTTGGATTTTTTTAAGATTATTCCTACAGGTAACATTTAACACCGATTTTCATCGATTTAGTTTCATGCCTCAATTAGGGTCCATTAAAAATTGCCACTTCCAGATATGACTCCTTTTTTTTGTAATGACAATTAGCCAAACAATTGTAACCTGATTAACGGAAAGTAAGACAAAATCCACATAATTTTCAAAATTTTCATTTTCAAACATAACACACACACACAGTTACATTTTCAAATGCCATTTATTTGGGTATTTATGTTAAACCATCAATTCCATTAATGGTTGATTGGTTTGGGCTAAGTGTTATGAGTCAGTGCAAGTTAATGGCCTTTAAAAAAAGTGGTGGTCTCGTGCTACCACAAATCCATGGGCCCGCTGAACTGAACTGCATTTGAACTTCTGAAATTAACAGCTGATAGTGTCATCGTCGCCGCCAACATTTGCCTAACTACAGACACATAATTTAAAGCGATAAAACGTGTGCGTGGTGAGCCGTCCTACAACAAATCAATCATTATCTCAGTTAATTGAAAGCCCACTTACGGAGGCCCTGAAGACATATGCAAAAAATTTAAAATCAAAACTCAGAAAAAAATTATATATGACCATAAAAAATGGTGCCACCAAAACTCGAGAGAAAAAAACTCATTATTTTAATAATATTAAACTAATAAAACATAAACAATAGTCCAATATAAATGTGTGGCATTGTATAGATGGTATTTAACCAAATCCGATTTGAGAAGAGCCATGTGTTTGTTTTTGTTATTGTTTTTGCATAAAACTTGTAAAACAACAAGTACTTAATTAATTAAACAAAAAAAATATGAGATACCAAAAAAAATCGAAAACAAACAAACTAAATAAGATAATAAATCGTATTTGTTTTTGCTGTCAAAGTCAACCGAAAAAGTTATTTATAAAAAGCTGTATGTATGTATGTATGTATGTATGTGTGGTTGTATGTATTGGTGGCACAGGGCGTCATATTATAACACAGATTTGACAGCACAATGTTAAGAATTTTCTTGTTCGTCTACAACTTAATTAAGATTGGGCCAGAAAAAAACACACAAAATAAACTGCACTACCTCATCACATCAAAAATCGTAGATCTTTCAAAGCAATTTTCCCAGGACGTTTAGGCCAATAAGCCTTATTTTTTTAAAGAATTTTTTTGAATATTTTTAAAGACTAATCGGATCGGGTAATTTAGGATTTTTATTATTTTTAGGGCCTTTCTTTTGATGATTTTTTCGGGGGAATTTCAGAACAAAGACCAAAAATGATGAATTTTCTTAAAACCTACTATAATGTTTTTTTTTTTGTAGCAACAATTATAGATTTTTATACCTTACAACATAGTATGGAGGGTATATTAAGTTTGTCATTCCATTTGTAACACCTCGAAATATACATGTTAGACCCCACAAAGTATAAATATTCTTGATCAGCATAAAACTCTATGTCGATTTAGCGATGTCCGTCCGTTCGTCCGTCTGTGGAAATCACTCTAGCTTCCGAACAAAATTAAGTAGGTTGATCAAATTTTACTTTAATATATATATGTTTTGTCTGATGGACTTTTGGTATTAAAAATGGGGCTTGTACGTACACGTTTTGGTATAGCCCTCATATAACCTCCCGATATTCGGTATTTTGATGATTTTAGAGACATTTTTCACCGGAATTGTTTTTAATTTAGTACTTGAAGTTCGCAATGGATACTACAGTCTATGTCAGAAAATTGTCAGTGCAGCTCCACGCTTTCGCAAGCACCCATATAACGGCACCTCCCTATTTTCGGTATTTTGATGATTTTAGAGACATTTTTCACCGATTTTTTTTTTCAAATTTCGCATTTGAATATTCGTCGTATAGACCCATCGTCTTATAGACCCTAATATAACGGCAACATTCAGTATTTTTAAGATTTTAACAGAATTTTTAACGGATTTTATTTTTTTGAAATGTTTGATGAATATTTTCAAAGACTAATCGGATCGGATAAGTGTAGATATTTATTATTTTTAAGGATCTTTGTTTTAAGGATTTTTTCAAGGAGTTTTAGACCAAAAAATGGTGGATTTCTAAATATTCTATTTTAAAGAATTCTCGAAGGACTTTCAGACCTACCACCAGGGTTTTTTTTTGTAGCAACAATTGTTGATATTTTTAAGAATTATTTCGATGAAATTTCAGACCATCAATAATGGATTTTTTAAGAATATTTGGATGGATTTATGTTTGTAAAGAATTTAAGATCAACATTTTTAGATTTTTGAAAAAAAAATCGAAGGATAGCTTAACCAGCAATAATGGATGTTCTAATTAATTTTTCTAAAGGACCTTTAGACCAACAATCGTGGATTTTTTGAAGAAATTTTTCGAAAATTTTTTTGAAAAATAATTTCGTAGACTTTCAGACCAACAATCGTGGATTTGTAATGCATGGTTTTCAAAGAACTTTCAGACCAAAAAATCGTGAAACAGACCGCCAATGTACGAAGTACAATTCTAGATTTTTGACGATTTTTTCCAAGGTCTTTCAGACCACCAATAGCGGCTTTTATTTTTTTAATGAATTTTATGACCAACAATTTTATAGAATTCTTTAAAATACTTTCAGACAAAATATTATTATATTTGGATGGATATTTGTTTAAGAATTTAAGATTGTGGATTTTTAAATAAATCAAAGGCCAGTTATACCAGCAATAATGGATGTTCTAATAAATTTTTCTAAGGGACCTTCAGACCAACAATCGTGGATTTCTTAAAGAAATTTTTGGAAAGATTTTTGAAGAATTATTTCCACAGACTTTTAGACAAATAATCGTGGATTTGTAAATAATTTTATTCGAAGAAATTTCAGACCAAAAAATCGTGGAATTTACAAACTTCCAGACCGCCAATTAAAGAAAAATAATTGTCGACTTTTAAACATTTTTTTAAGGGATTTCAGACCACCAATTGTAAATTTTTTAAAATTGTTTTCGAGAATTTTCAGACCAACAAGGGTGGATTTTTATAGGATTTTTCTGAAAGACTTTCAGACCATCATTAATCGATTTTTTATAAGAGCCCGGTTTAGTGGATTTTCGAATAATTTTTCAAATGCCAGTTAAACCAGCAATAATGGATGTTCTAGTGAATTTTTGTAAAGGACCTTCAGACTAACAGTTGTGGATTTTTTTAAGAAATTTTACGAACAAATATCATTGATTTTTACAGAATCTCTTTGGAAGGACTATCAGACCGTCAATGTAACATAAGTAATTGTAGATATTTAAAGATATTTTCAAAGATCTTTCAGGTCATCAATTGCATATTTTTTAAAGAATTATATTCTAAAAGACTTTCAGACCATCATTAATGGATTTTTAAGAACTATTTGAATGTTTTTTTTTTTTTTTTTTTTTGTTAAGAATTTAAGACCCACAATCGTGGATTTTTGAAGAATTTTTCGAAGGCCAGTTAAACCAGCAATAATGGATATTCTAATGAATTTTTCTAAAGGACCTTCAGACCAACAATCGTGGATTTTTAAATAGAATGTTCGAAATAAATATTTAAATAATTATTTAAATAAGAATTTAAATAATTATTTCTATAGACTGTCAAACTAAAAATCTTGGAATTTTATAGAATTGTTTCGAAGCATTTCAGACCGCCAATATAAAAAAAATAAAATTTTTTCGAAAGACTTTCAGACTTCAATTTGCAGTTTTTTTTTTAGAATTTTTAAAAATTTTTTCAGAAGTAGATGCAGACCAACAATCGTGGGTTTTTTATAGAAAAGATTTTCAGACCAATAATCGTGGATTTTTTTCAAAAGGATTTTCAGACCAAAAATCACGGATTTAATACGAAATATTGTGGAGTTTTTTTAAAGACTACCAGACCAATAATCGCGGATTTTTTAAAGAAAAGGATTTTGAGACCATGAGTCGCGGAATTTTTAAAGGATATTGAGCCCAACAATTGTGAGATATTTAAGATTTTTTCTAAAGCATTTTCAGACCAAAAATTGTAGATTTTTTAAAGACTTTAGGACAAACAATGTTGGATTTTTTAAAGATTTTCTTTTTAAGAAATTTAGGAAAAGTAATATTATTTTTTTAAAGATTTTTTCCTAAAAGACTTTCCTACCAGCAATCGTAGATTTTTTAAGATTTTTTTAGGAATTTCAGAACAACGATCGTGGATTTTCAAATAATTATTTCGAAAAATTTTATATGAAGTATTGTGAATTTTTCAAGAATATTTCTATGGATTTTCGAACCAACGATCGTGGACTTATTAAGAGTTTTTCCAAAGAACTTTTAGACAACTGTTGACTTTTAATGAATAGTTTGGAAAAAAATTAATACTTAAAAATTAATCAATAATAATTGTTGTGGATTTTAAAGGACTTTCTTAAACTATTGGATGGATGTTTTGAGAATGTCTCTAAAGAACTTTCAGACCAACAATCGTGGATTTTTTAAAGACTTTACATGTTTTTTAATATTTTTTAAGGGATTTTAAGAATTACAGTTGTGGATTTTGAGAACTTTTCTAAATGATTTTCAGACCAAGAATCGTGGATTTTTCAACAATTTTTCTAAAGGGTTTTCATACTAAGAATCGTGGATTTTTTAAGAATTTTTCTGAAGGATTTTCATACTAAGTACCGTACATTTTGTTAAAGAATTTTTTGGACAAAAAATTAGCTTTGAACTTTGAATACCCTCCACCATATGGAACGAATTTGGAAATTTTCAAAAAATAAAATCCGTTCAAATCTTAAAAAATACCGAACATAACCGTTATATCGGGGCCTATACGAATACCTGGACCATCATAGAAAATTTTCTGTTACAGGCTGTAATATACATTAGGAACTTAAAATTAGAAGTTTCGAACAATTTCGGTTAATATTTTACCTAAAATCGTCAAAAATACCGAATATAGAAAGGTACCGATATATGGGGTCTATATGTAGACCTGAATATGCATAGACAATTTTTTGTCACAGACTGTAGTTCCCATGGCGAACTTTTAATGTGAAATTTGAAGTAACTCCGGTGAATAATGTCGCAAAAATCATCAAAATACAGAATATTGGGAGGTACCGTTGAATGGTGCTATAAGGAGGTAAAGTACTCAAAACCAACTCCTTGTGCGGATTTTTAGACAATTTCAATGAAAAATTTGGCTAAAATCATCAAAATACCGAATATCGGGAGGTAACATTATATGAGGGCCATACGATATCGTAGACCTATATAGACAATTCTCTTTCAGGGGGTAAAGTACCGCTGAATAATATCACAAAATCATCAAAATACCTAATATCGGGAGGTTCCGTTATATGGGGGCTATACTATATCGTGAACTGATACAGCCATCTTAGAACTTGACCTGCTTGCGGACAAGCGACAATTTTTTAATATACCCTCCATACTATGTATGGTGGAGGGTATACAAAATCTTTTTATGGGGACCCTTGCTGATATAGGTCTGACTTTCTTATCGACTTATATAAAAAAAATTAAAGATTTGAAACAATTTCCATCTTCAATAGTCTGATAGTTAAAAAATAAAAAAATATTCGATTTTTTTTTTGTTCAAAAAAACAAAACATTTTTTTTATTAAATAATTAAATAACAATTGGACATCTTAGGCTTCAGGGGCAACGGGCAAATGGGCACCTTGGGGTTGGAAACCGTTTTCATCGGCAACATAGTTGACGGTGTAGGTTTGACCATCATCAGCAACGAAGGAGAAAGAGCCACGGACAGCAATAGCTTCTTGTTCGCTACCGGCATTGTTCAATTGACCTTGAGCTTCAGCCTTGGTGCCATCGCTGGTTTCGAAACTGTTGGAAGGGGGAAATTGAAGAAACAAATGTTGAATTAATCCATATTTTTGTGGTTGGGGATGACATCAGGATGACTTTCTGGGAGTTCCCGATACTTACGCATATTGGAAAGATTCAGGACCCACATCCGATTCACTGCGAACAATTTCAACATCGGCGGGAGCGGCCAAAGCCAAGGCGAAGAGAGCGACAAAAACAATGATGAATTTCATTTTGAGTGTCTTGGATTTCTGTTTTGCAAGTTGATCGATGTATATCGAGGTGTACTGGATGTGTGACTGATGGCCAGAGCCGACAACAGTTTTTATAGTCGCACAAAAATTGTCTCTTCTCGGCCAGCCATCATCATCTTCATTGGCATTGTGGGCATCGTCATGTTCTTGGATATTGTCATTTTAATGGATTTGATTTAAACTGGTTTCTCATCTTTAATTATGAACCGTCTTGCCCTGTCTGTAATCGAGCATAAATCCCAGTTCACACCTACAAGTTTCGGTTTGTTTGTGTGTTTTGCGATGATCTCGCTGGTAAGCAGGAAAACAAATTATACCATTGTTCGTTTGTTTTTTTTTTTTACTGAGAATATTTAGTTGTTTGGTTTAGAGCAACCGGTCTTTAAAACATTACCAGCCTATGTTGATGTTTGAAATTCTCCTAAAACCCATTTAGTGCCCTATGGCATCAGCAGTGGTCGAGCAACCAGTTTTGAATAAAAAAATGTTTTTAATTTATTTCGTCTTACGAACAGATAACAAATGTTCTGTGGCTAATTTTCTATCAAATCTATTTGTCAAAATGGTGTAATTGATAAATGGTAAATTTCCAAAACCACTTTCAATATTTCCGGAGAGACATTTGTAAAAATTGTGAATTTAGAAAAAATTAAATATAAATTTCCCAATCGTGGTATAGGAACCACAAGTGTTGAAAATGCCTCAAAGGTGTTAAAAAATCAGGATTCGGGATCTGATAATCCATAAAAATACTTTTAATATTTTTTTTAAAGCTTTGAAAAATAGGTTTTCAGATACCAGATATCCGGTATTTTGGAGATTTTTTTTTGTTACATTTTTAAGCGGAGATGTTTCAAATTTGGAATTTAAAGTTTCCTATGGTTACTACAGCCTGTAACGGAAAATTGTTTATATAAGTCGAAGTCTTCGTATAGCCAACATATAACGATACCTCCCTATATTCGGTATTTTAATGATTTTTGCGAAATTATCCACCGGAATTGTTCCAAATTCTGTACTGAAGTTTCATAATGAATACTGCAGGTCCACGTCTTCGTGTAGGCCCCAATATAACTTTAACTTCCTATATTCGGAATTTTTATGATGACAGCAGTATTTTTTATAACCTCCACCATACATTGTATGGAGGGTATATTAACTTCATCATTCCGTTTGTAACTCATCGAAATAATACATTTTCTAAAACGATTTGGCCCTATCGTCCGTACATCTTTCCGTCTGTTGTAATCACGCTAAAGTCAAAACGAATTAAGATAGAAAGCTAAAATTTTGCACAGGCCAGTCTTTTGTCTGCAGACAGGTCAAGTTCGTATAGCCCCCATATAAGGGTACCCCCCGATATTCGGATGGTTTTAACCAAATTTTTCAAAGAAATTGTCTAAAAATCCACAAAAATAGTTCCTTCTGAGTACTTTATCCTCTGAGAGAGTATTGTCTATATAGGCCCACAATATCGTATATCCCCCATATATCGATACCTCCCTATATTCGAAATTTTGGCGATTTCAGGAACATTATACATCGTTTTAAATTGCGTATTTAGAGTTCGTAATGGGTACTACAGCTTATGACAAAAATGTTTGCCGGAGTTGTTTCAAAATTAATATTTTTAGTTTGTAATTGAATTTACAGTCTTTGCCAGGAAATTGTCAATGCAGGCCCAGGTCTTCGTATAGGTCCCATATATCTGTACCCCCTCGGATTCGATATAGGTACAATATTCACCGAAATTGTTTAAAATTTCGTATTTGAAGTTCATAATAGGTACTATAGCTTTTGACAGAAAATTGACTAAGTAGGTCCAGATCGTCGTATAGCCCCAAAATATAACGGTACATCCCCATATTCGGTATGACTTAAGCTACATTATTCACCAGATCCTTTTCAAGTCTCGATTTTGACTATTGTTATGACCTGGGACTAAATTTGTCTATGCATGTCCACATCTTCGTATAGACCCCAATATAACGACTATATTCGGTTTTTTAAGATTATAACAAAATTTTTAAACGAATTTTTCCTCTTTGAAAATTTTCAAATTCGTTTGGAATGGTGGAGGGCCGGCCGAACTTTTGTATTTTTTTTTTTTAAATTTTAAATTCCTTGCAGATGATGGAGGATATTCAAAATTTAGCCGAACTCACTGCCTTTTATGCTCTCAGCTACAGAGGTTATATACGGCCAACCCGTGCCTGATTGAAATAACGGTTTTAGACCCTAGGTCTATTAGGACCAAGTCACTTTCAGGATATTTGAAGTCAACACGGGGTCGTCCATCTATCTGGCTGTATGGGGTACTGGATACCTCTCGAAGCGAGTACCCGATTTGGTCCAAACATGGCACGTCGTAATATTATTATCAAAATTAGATCAAATTCGGAGATGAACAATAGCTGTACACAGCTTCTGCTACCTCAGCCACAAAGGTCCAATTTTTCACATAAAATTATTTTCCGTATACAACAATGTTTGCAAATCCCAATATTTACGAAAATGAACAATATCGGTTTACTCCATCATGTACCGCTCACACAAAGGGTCAAAATTCTGAATAATAATAACACTTATAAAATGTGATGTAAGAGTTCAATTATCTTCAAACTCACATATCAGAATATTTTTGTAAACCCAAGGTCTGATGTGAAGATGGAATATATCGATCCACTCCTTCTGGTACCTCCCCCACAAGGGGTCAAAATTTGAATTTGAAAGGGTCAAAGTTTTGAATGATTATACCTCTCATAAAATGCGAAATAAGAAATACCCATCAAGCTTATAAAATGCGAAATTATTATCTGATTCTATTCAGACTTGGTACATCTCAATATTTCCATCAACACAAGACCTGCTATGAAGATGGTAGTGATCGGACCATTCCTTCTTGTACCTTCCCCACAAAGGGTCAAAGTTTTGAATAACCAAAACGATTATAAAATCCGAAATAAGAATCCAGTTCTCTTCGTATTTCACACATCCCATTATTTCTACTAACAAAAAAATCTGCCCCGGTCCACTTTTTCTTGAACCTCCTCAAAAGGGTAAAATTTTTGAATAATGGTATTTCTCTCTTGTAAAACGCGAAATGGACATCCGATTATTTTTCAACTCGGCACATCCCAATATTTCTCTAAGCACAAGATCAGGTGTCAAGATGATATATATCGACAAACCCCATCTGGCATTTCCCACAGAAAAGGTCACAGTTTTCAGTAGTTATATATCACATAACTCAGCGGTACTAATTCGTGGTATCACACATGGTGTTGTAGGATTTAAAAATCCATCACTCGTTTTTGATATTTTCTCAAAAAATTATTATAAAAATTTCTCTACCAAAAACGATAAAAAATCTACTAATCTATAAGAAATCTACGAAAATTGTATATTTTCACAATTTTGATTTTTAGTACTCTCTACAAAAAATTAAAAAAAAAATTCACGATCTTTTTGTCTCTCAAAAAAGTTAAAAAAAAATCCACGATTCTGACCATGATAAGCCCTCAAAATATATTCTTTAAAAATTCCCTGTTCGAGGTTTGGGAGTCCGTCAATATTTTTTTTCCACCATTAACACTTTCCAAGTCCCTTATGAGACAATTAATTTAGGTTTTCCTTTGAAAGTAATTAAAAATAGGTGATTCTGCCTTTGATGGTCCAAAGTTATAGTTTTGATGGTCCTTTAAAATAAAAGAAAAATTGGGCACATGAATAAAACAATTCTATATAAAACAAATATTTTGTTTGATATATTCTCAAAAATATGCTATAAAAATCTCTCCACCAAAAACAGTAAGAAATCTACAATGGGCCCATAAAAAAAAATAAATAAATAAATAAATAAAAAATAAATAAATAAAAAATAAATAAATAAAATTTCAGCAATTTTCGTTTTTATATTCTCCAGAAAAATATTTTAAAAATAAATCCAAGGATCTTGTTTTTCATCTCTCAAAAAATTAAAAAAAACTCACGATTCTGACCTTGACAAGCCCTCTAAATATTTTCTTTAAAAATCCAATATTCGGGATTTGAGAGTCCTTTTAAAGTCCCTTTTGTTTGAAAGTGATTAAAAATCCAAGATTCTGGCTTTGTTGGTCCGCAGTTATAGGATTGATGGTCATTTAAAATTAAAAAAAATCAAGACGTGGCCCAAAAATTTTGTTTAAAACATTTTTTTTTGTTTTTGATATTTTCTCTCTCCCCAAAACAATAGGTCCCTAAAGAAATATTCAAAATGTTCACAATTTTGGCTTTTACACTCTCTGCAAAAATATTGAAAAAATTCACGATTCTGGTTATTAATCTCTCAATTTTTTTTTTTTAAACACAAGATTCTGACCACGTTAACCTCGAAATATATTCTGTAAAATTCCAATATTCGAGGTTTGGGAGTCCAATATTTTTATCCACAGTTAGGCCTCATGAAATTATTTATTTTGACTTTGATGGTCCACAGTTATTGGGTTGATGGTTCTTTAAGATTAAAAATAAAGAATCAGGACATGACTCAAAAAATAGTGATGGAAACAAACAACAAAGAAATAGGATTGAGGCTTTGAAGAATTTCAAAAAATATTGCACGGCACAATTCGAAATTATGGATTTGAAAAAAAAAATTACACAAAATATTTCGATATTACTTTTAGATAATTTGATAATATTCCCATGATCCTTTAAAACATAAAATATGGCCCATTTTTACCACAATTAACGTCTCCCACATAAAATGCATTGTATATTTTTTTAATTTTTTTTATTAACTAACTAAACAACAATCAGTACAACTTAAGCTTCAGGGGCGACGGGCAAATGGGCACCTTGGGGTTGGAAACCGTTTTCATCGGCAACATAGTTGACGGTGTAGGTTTGACCATCATCAGCAACGAAGGAGAAAGAACCACGGACAGCAATAGCTTCTTGTTCGCTACCGGCATTGTTCAATTGACCTTGAGCTTCAGCCTTGGTACCATCGCTGGTTTCGAAACTGTTGAAAGGATGAAATTGAAAAAAAAAAAAAAACACAAATATTGAATTAATCCATATTTTTGGGGGTGGGGATTACATCAGGATGACTTTCTGGAAGTTCCCGATACTTACGCATATTGGAAAGATTCAGGTCCAACATCCGAATCGCTGCGAACAATTTCAACATCGGCTGGAGCGGCCAAAGCCAAGGCGAAGAGAGCGGCAAAAACAATGATGAATTTCATTTTGGTTGGCTTGGTATATTTGCAAGTTGATCGATGTATATCGAAGTGTACTGGATGTGTGACTGATGGCCAGAGCCGACAACAGTTTTTATAGTCTCCAAAAAAATCCACAGCATAGCTCGCTCATCTTCACGTTCTTCTTAATTTTACCATTTCAATGGTGACGATTTAAACTGGTTTCTTTGTGGTCTTTAATTATGATGAACTGGCTGGCTTGCCCTGTCGCCTTAGTTAGTCTGCTGTAATCAAGCGTAAGCGTAAAATCGCAAATCTGTTTCCCATTTCATAGAGTTCTATATTGGATTTGTATACAACGGGTCATTTAATTTGTCTTCTGTTCTATATAAGGAAAAAAAGGTGGACTTTCTTGGTGAAAATCACTGTGATCGTTTATACAAGACAATATATTATCATGGAGGAGGATTTCATCTCTTTTTGCGGAAAGATCAAGTGATCTTTTGATCTGTGACATTTTATCGCCTAAAGGAGCAAATATGATAACATTTATGCGGTTTTTATACCCTCAGTCATATGGCTAGAGAGGGTATATATCATTTGATACGGTCAAAACGTGCCTTGCACCATAACTCTCGATAGGAGTATCCGATGTGGTCCAAACTTGGTAGATCGTAATATTATTGTCAAGCTTAGATCGAGTTCGGAGATGGACAAAGTACAATCCAATTTTGCTCCAACTTTGCAAATCCTAGTACTTGCATTAGTGCTAGGTCAGGTGCGATAATGGAGAATATCGGTCCACTCCATTAAGGACCTTCCCCACAAAGGGTCAAAATTTTGAATAATTATGACTCATATAAAATGTGATGTAAGATTCCGATTGTCTTCAAATGCACAATTCAGAATATTTTTATAAACCCAGATGGAATATATCGGACCATTCCTTCTGGTACCTCGTCACAAAAGGTCAAAACTTTCAAAGAAAATATTTTGCTCCACAGAAAGCTCATTTTGCTCTAACTTTGCAAATCCTAATATTTCCCTCAGTTCTATCTCAATTTCAAAAATGGATAATATCAGTCCACTCCATGAAGTGCCTCTCCCACAAAGGGTCAAAATTTTGAATAACTCTTATAAAATATGATGTAAGAGTCCAATTGTCTTCAAATTTCACACCATTCCTTCTCGTACCTCCCCCACAAAGGGTCAAAGTTCTAAATAACAAAAACGTTTATAAAATCCGAAATAAGCATCAGGTTCTCTTTATATTTCACACATACAAACATTTTTGATAAAACAAAATCTTTTGTGAAGATCGGATACATCGATCCTCTCCTTCTGTTACCTGCCCCGCAAAGGGTCAACATTTTAAATACCCATGAAGCTCATAAAACGCGCCATTCGGACTCAATATTTCGTATTGGAAGGACTTAACCGATTTCTCATCTGATCTAAGGCTGATTTTTATGCTGGAGTGTGCCAAGTTTCAACGAAAGTTGATACAACCTTTACTTTTTTATTCTCCACCATATATAGTATGTAGGGTATATTAAGTTCGTCATTCCGCTTGTAACTCATGGAAATAATAATTTTAGACCAAACAAAGAAAAGCGTAAAATTCTAAGACGATTTAATCGTAAAATTCTAAGCGTAGCACAAATTGTTTGGCTCAGGCCGTTTTATGGTATCGCCACGATATCGTATGACCCCCATATAACGATGCCTCCCGATATTCGGTATTTTAATGATTATAGACACATTTTTCGATGGAATTGCCTAAAATTCTTCCCCCTGGAAGAGAATTGTCTATATAGGTCAAAGATAACGTATAGCCCCCATACAACTGTGCCCCCCATATTCGCTATTTCGATGATTTTAGCTTTCAATGGAACTGTGTGAAAATCCACGCAAGGAGGTATTTGCACACAAGAAGTTCATTGTGAGTTCTTTACCCCAGAAGTAGATTTGTCTATATAGGTCCACAATATTGTATATCACCCCAATATATCGGCACCTTACGATATTCGGTATTGTCCATATAGGTCCACGATATCGTGTAGCCCCCATTCAACGTTACCCCCGGTATTCGGCATTCCAACGTCTTGGTATGGACCTCGTATAACGATACCTCCCGAAATTTTGATGATTGTTGCCAAATTTGTCAATGGAATTGTCTGAAATTTTACACATAGAGTTCCGATTTTAGTAATTTACACCCTGGAAGAGAATTGTCTATATAAGTCACGATAGCGAATAGACCCCCCCATGAAATTTTGTAAATGTCGTATTCAGAACTCGTAATGGGTACTACATCCTATGACAAAAAATTGCGTGTGTAGATCCACGTCTCCCAATATTCTGTATTTCGATGATTTTAGCGACATTTTTTATCGGTATTGTTTCAAATTTCGTATCTGAGGTTCATAATGGATTCTACAGACTATGACAGAAAATTATATACGCAGGTCCTCGTATAGCTCCCATATAACTGTAACCTCCGATATTCGGTATTTTGATTATTTTATCCTATTACAAAAAATTGCATATGCGGGTCCACGGCTTCGTATAGCCCCCATAGAACCAATATTCGGTATTTTGATGTTTTTTCGACATTTTTAAATTTTGTATCTGAAGTTCCTAATGCGTACTACAGCCTATGGCATAAAATCGTGTATGTAGACCAACTTCTTCATATGGACCTGATACAACGATACACCCGATATTCGGTATTTTGATAATATTTCTCACATTATTAACCTGAACTGTTTCAAATTTCGTATTTGAAATTCATAATGGGTACTACAGTCTATGAAAGAAAATTTCCTTGCAGCTCTAGGTCTTCGTGTAGCCCCCATATAATAGTACCTCCCTATATTAGGTATTTTGATGATTTTAGCGTATTACTCACCGGAATTGTTTCAAATTACTTATTTAGAGTTCGTAATGAGAACTACAGTCTGTGACAGAAAATTGTGTATGCAGGTCCAGGTCTTCGTATAGGCCACATATATCAGTACCTCCCTATATTCGGTATTTTGACGATTTTCGGTACAATACCCACCGATATTGAGAATATTGAGATGTCGTATTTGAAGTTCGTAATAGATATTATAGTCTGTGACAGAAAATTGTCTATGCTGGTCCAGGTCTTCGTACAGCTCCGATATAACGGTACCCCCCTTTATACGATATTTTGATTTTGCTACATTATTCACCGTTTATTTCATGTTTCGAATTTAAATATTGTAATGGCTTCTGACAAACAATGCCTATGTAGGCCCACGTCGTATAGACCCCGATATAACGGCTATATTCGGTATTTATAAAATTTTAACAGAATTTTTAATGGATTTTATTTTTACTTTACGAAGTTCGTAATGGATACTACAGCCTGTGGCAGAAAATTGTCTTTGCATGTCCACGTTTTCGTATAGCTCTTGTTAATGATTTTAGCTACATTATTCACCGGATTTTTTCGACCCATCCGAACTTACTGCTTTTAAACTTGTTTTTTTTTTTTGAAAGTGTTTCGATTTTGCCTATCTTAGAAAGTGATCTTGTTATAATGAACCAAGTTATAAAAAATTGCGTAATTTTCTTACGAGAGTTATCCTGTGCACAGAAAACCAGAAGGTCGGACGGACATGGCTGCATCGATTCAAAATGTCCTGAAACAAATTTCGTTCAAAGACATTTGGAATCTAACCCGATGAGGCACATTTTGGCCGTATTAAGTGATATATAACCTTGGTAGCCACATGGCGGAGTTATAATAACAATCAATACACTCCTGGTATTTTTAGGGTTAACATTTGATTTTGAACCAAATTTATTTTTAATTTTCCAATTAGAGCACTGAACTCTCATATGTCGTAGCATAAATTGTTTGGCTCAGGTAATTTTATGGCATGACCAGAAAATCGATTTTTGTATGGGCGGTTTTAAAAAAAATTTTCATAGTATTGGTATTAAGGAAATTTTTTTTAAAATATTGATAGTCCAGTGGTAACGGAATGCTATTTTTCCTTTTTTGGTTATCCAAAAATCCCTTTGGTTTCATTTCAATTTCAGCCATAAACCTGGTTTGTAAATGTAAACGTTACACTTGATTTTTTTAAACGAAATCAAAAAATATATGTTTTTTTGTCTATAAACAAAACATTTTTTTATTATTAACTAACTAAACAACAATCAGACAACTTAAGCTTCAGGGGCAACGGGCAAATGGGCACCTTGGGGTTGGAAACCGTTTTCATCGGCAACATAGGTGACGGTGTAGGTTTGGCCATCATCAGCAACGAAGGAGTAAGAGCCCTTGACAACAATAGCTTCATCTTCAGAGCCGACATTCTTCAATTGACCTTGAGCTTCAGCTTCGGCACCATCGCTGGTGGCATAACTGTAATGAGGAAAAAATTGAAAAAAAAAAAAAAAATGTTGAATTAAGCTATCCTTTTTTATGGTCGGCGGCGGGGTAACGCAATGTCAATAAGAGTTTGAGAGTTCTGGATACTTACGCGTATTGGAAGGATTCGGGACCAACTTCAGATTCGCTCTTAAGGATTTCAACTTCGGCGGGAGCGGCCAAAGCCAAGGCGAAGAGGGCAACGAAGACAATGATGAATTTCATTTTGTTTGAGTTGAGTTTAGCTTAGTTCAGAGTTTGAAAACTTTGTGCTGACTATCGAGATATTTCACAAGCTATTTATAGTGCAAATTGGCAAAAAAAAAACGATTTTGAGATTTTCTGTTTTTTTTTTTTTTTTTTTGGTTTCTTTTTGAAAAGCGTTAAAATATTTCATTTGCATTAATTTAATACATTGCCAACCGAGCCAACATTTAACTCAGCATATTTTGTATTGGATTAAAAATGTTGCTCTTCTTTGCTTTGGGTGGTGTAAAGAACTTGCTTTATTGTGCCGCCCTTGAATGAGCCTATGTTTTGTAGTCTTGTAGTCTATAAACACATACATACATACATACATATATGTATGTATGACGTTTGTGTGTGGCGATTTAAACATTTTGAAACAAGTTTTGCAAATCTTGGTGAATTATGAGAAAGAAAAGTACAAATACAAAATAAATAGTAAAAGGGCGTATTTTGTGAGGTAGAATTTTTGGACATACATAATTAGACGCCAAACTGAATGGAGATTAGAATAAATGTAAATTAGTATATAATCTATAAACAAAATACAAAAGAATAACCAAATCAAAAATTAATAACAAAACATGAGGCTATACAAGGAAAAATTCTATCGTAACTCAAGTTGAATATGATATTGTCGTATTCAGGGGGCATTTTAGTTCAGAACGTTATTTTTTGCATGCTCTGACATGAGGAAAAAATGAACTATATTCAAACCCTAATTGTATGCTATTAGAAGCTTTTCTTTAATACAGAAAAAGTGAAAACGTGTAAAAAAGCAGTATGTTCGGCCGAGCCGAACTTTGAATACCCTTCCCCATTAGGAACGAATTCGGAAATTTAAAAAAAAATTAAATTCGTTAAAAATTCTGTTAAAATCTTAAAAATACCGAATATCGGAAGTCACCTTTATATTGGGGTCTATACGAAAACGTGAGCCTGCAAAGGCAACTTCTGTCTGTTGGTACAGTTATATGGTGGCCATACAATATCGTGGACCTATAAAAACAATTCTCTTTCAGGAGATAAAGTACTCAGGAGGAACTCCTTGTGTGGATTTTCAGACAATTCCATTGAAAATTGTCGTGAAAATCGTCAAAATACGGAATATAGGGAAGTCCTGTTACATAGGGGCTATACGAAGACCTGGACCTGAAATTTTCAATTATCTGTCACAGGCTTTAATACCCATTGGGAACTTCAAATAAGAAATTTGAAACAATTCCGGTGAATTATGTCGCTAAAATCATCACAATACGGAATATAGGGAGGTACTGATGTATGGGGGCTATACGAAGACCTCGATCTGCATAGACAATTTTTGTAGTAAGCTGAAGTGCCCATTACGAATTCCAAATATGAAATTCAATTCCGGTAAATAATTGTCCTAAAATCATCAAACTACCGAATATCGGGGGTACAGTTATATGGGCGCTATACGAAGTCCTTGACCTTCATAGACTTTAGACGGACCGACAGTAAGTTAAAAACGGAATGACGAACTTAATATACCCTCCATACTATGTATGGCGGAGGGTATAAAATGACAGAGATGTTTAGTTTGGCTGAGCCAAACTGTGAATATTGTTCGTCATGCATTGAAACCACATCTCTAAGCCTATCTTTCCACGACTCATCAATGAAAATATGATTCGAATGATACGTTTTAAAACTCGTAAAATCTGGTCAAAACTGCAACACTATTTTAAATATAACAAGAACCCTTGCAAAGCGAAAATCTAATAATAGTGGAACAAAAGTAATAATTGCGTTAAGGTCTGACTTGTCGAGCCTCCTATGACCTCTATAAGTTTAGGTCCAAAATTGCTGACCGCCTTGTGTCCTTGAAAACGAATTTTAAAAAATCCGCGACCTTTTCCCCTTTTATCTTTGACTTTTTTAAACCCATGTTTGACCAACTTTATTTGAGTCCTCTTAAAAGTCCTGGTTTGTTGCTGCCTGAATTCTTTAAAGAAGTAAAATAAATAAGATAAAAAATACCCTCTCCATGGGTCCCTCTAAAACTACTCTTAACAAAATCAAGTTTATTGTTCTTGAAAAAATATTGAAAAACTGCAAATAATCCGAAATCGTTGTTCATTGTAATTTCATAGAACTTCAAAAAAATGTTTCTTCAGAGGTCTTAAGAAAATTGTTTGAAAAAAATTGAAATCAACGATTGCTGTCCAATAAAATAAAATTCAATAAAAATATCTACGATTTTTGCTCCTTTGGTCCCTCAACAAATAATCCAAACACAAATAAATTCGTCTGAAAAATCCTAATTTCTTAAAAAATATACAGATTTAAAAATTAATCCAGAATTGTTGTTCCTTGGGTACTGGGAAAACAATTTAAAGGTCAATTATTGTAATTTCTTAGAACCTTAAAAATTTTTCTTGCAAGGTCTTTAAAAAAATCGAAAAATCCTAATTTCTTAAAAAATATACTAGTTGTTGTTTGTTGTTCAACAAATATGGTTTATGCCCCCATGGGTCTTTAAAAAAATATTGCTGTTCCATATATATATTCCATATACACCAAAATGTGGTGTATATGGAACTTCCTTCCTCCATTTGGCTTACTTGGCGATGTTTCGATCAAAACCCATTTTCCTAGATACTATGCCAACTATAGTACCGAATTTCAGAGCTCTGCCAAATATAATAGGAACTGTTTTTATACCCTCCACCATACTATGGAGGGTATATTCATTTTGTCATTCCGTTTGTAACTCCTCGAAATACTCATGTCAGACCCAACAAAGTATATATATTCTTGATCAGCGTAAAATTCTAAGGCGATTTAGCCATGTCCGTCTGTCTGTCTGTGTGTCTGTCTGTCTGTCTGTCTGTCTGTCTGTCTGTCTGTCCGTCTGTCTGTCTGTCTGTCTGTTGTAATCACGCTATCTTTCGAACAAATTGAGATAGAAGGCTAAAATTTTGCACACATGTATATTTTGCCAGTAGGCAGGTTAAGTTCGAAAATGGGCCATGTAGGTCCAAGTTATCATATAGCCCCCATATAATGGTACCTCCCGATATTTGGTATTTTGATGATTTTAGCGACATTATTCATCGGAATTGTTTCAAATTTGGCATTTGAAGTTCGTAATGGATACTACATCGTAAGCCAAAAAATGAGCCATGTAGGTCCACGTATTCATATAGTCCCCATATAACGGTACCCGCCGATATTCGGGATTTTAATGATTTTAGCGACATTGTTTACCGGAATCGTTTCAAATTTGGTATTTGAAGTTTGTAATGGATACTAAATCCTAAGTCTAAAAATGAGCCATGTAGGTCCACGTCTTCGTATAGCCCCCATATAAGGGTACCCCCCGATTTTCGGTATTTTGATGATTTAAGCGACATTATTTAGCGAAATCGTTCCAAATTTGGTATTTGAAGTTCGTAATGGATACTACGGCCTAAGACAGAAAATTTTCTGTGCAGGTCCACATCTTCATATAGCCCCATATACCGTACCCCCCGATATTCGGTATTTTGATGATTTTAGGGACATTATTTATTGTTTCAAATTTCGCATGTGAAGTTCGTAATGGATACTTCAGCCCATGCCAGAAAATTGTCTGTGCAGGTCCACGTTTTCGAATAGCCCCCATATAAAGGTACCCCCCCCCCATATTCGGTATTTTAATGATTTTAACTTCATTAAAACAGATTTTTCTTCAAGTTTCACATTTAAATTATTGTAACAACTTATGACAAAATATGCCTATGCAGGCCCACGTCGTCGTATAAGCACTCGGTATTCTTAAGATTTTAACAGAATTTTTAACGGATTTTATTTTTTGGAAATTGCCAAATTTGTACCAAATGGTGGAGGGTATTAAAAGTTCGGCCCGGCCGAACTTACAGCTTTTTTACTTGTTTTTTTTCATTTCAAGAGACAAACAGACATTAATCCAGTTGGAATCCTATGGTGATCCAGAACATTATGGCGTCCCCTTAAAATATTTCGCGCTGTTGGCAATGGAATGACAAATCCAATATACCCTCCAGTTCGATGTAGTTCCAATTGAACTTTGGCAGAGACACATGCTATTTTTTGCTTATTCTCTTTTTTTTTGACGTTCACGTTCATTTTCAACTAATGGTTCATTCACTCGTGTCTAACAACCAAACAAAGCAAATTTTGTTTAACACAAAAGAAGCAACAGAAGGAGAAGAAGAACAGATAGGATTAAAAAAATAAAAATTATAAATAAAAAATAGTAATTAACACTAAAAATCTGGTTTAGTCAAATGATGAAGTTGTAGTGTCAACCAATAAAGTTTGGCAACTAGTTTCAAAATTAAAAAAAAAATATGAAAAAATAGCAACGTGATAATACAAACAGGGATAAATAAATATACATACATATTTGCATATATACATATTTACAAGCATGTCGGTTTTGTAGACATTATAATTAATTTAAAATGCATATGTATATATGTATATCATACAGTTACAAAGGGATGAGTTCAGTTTTCGAATGAGAACACAAGTGATTCCTGCATTTGTTGGTTGTACGGAAGACAGCGGTTATAATGGATTTCCTTGGAACCGAAATGATAACACTCTGTGCACAACATTTAATAATTTCAGGAAACATTTAGGAAATTATGAAATAATACCTAAAAAAAATACACGTTTTGACAAGCGTTTTGAAAGTTTACATCGCCAAGCAACCTAAATAGAGGGCGAAATATCGTAACTCCTTCACATTTTTTTATTTAATTCCAGCACTATAAAGACCTTGCACATATGTAAAGCAATTTTAAGGTTAAGAATCATACAAAAACAGTAAGGAAAGGTCAAAAGTCGGGCGGGGCCGACTATATGATACCCTACACCACAATGTGTATTTAGTAGAGCTTCCATAACAAAAAAGTTTTTATTGGGAATTTATGTGAATTAGATCATACCAACTACAGGGTGAGATGAAAAAACTTCAACCAACTTCAGACTGTTGTTATTTCTAAGCCACTCGTCC